CAGAAGGTGGTGTTGGGGGACTATGGCTCTGCGCCATGGCAGCTTTGCCATGGGGTACCGCAGGGTTCCATTTTGTCCCCTTTACTGTTCAATATCTACATGAAACCGCTGGGAGAGGTCATCAGGAGGTGTGGGCTGCGGACCCATCAGTATGCTGATGATACCCAGCTCTACCTCTCGTTTTCCACCAATCCAGGTGAGGCAGTGGCTGTACTGAACCGGTGCCTGGCCGAGGTAATGGGCTGGATGAGGGCCAATAAACTGAAGCTCAATCCAGACAAGACGGAGGTCCTGTTGGTTGGCGGTTCGGGCTTCGGAGAAGGTGACCTGAACCTTGTCCTGAATGGGGTTGCACTCCCTCCTAGGGACAAGGTCCGCAGCTTGGGAGTGCTCCTCGACCCGGAGCTTTCACTTGAAGCTCAGGTGACAACAGCGGCGAGGAGCGCTTTCCTCCAGCTTCGGCTGATTCATCAGCTGCGCCCCTACCTGGAGTACGACTGCCTTGCAACAGTGACTCATGCGCTGGTGACTTCCCGTCTTGACTTCTGTAACGCGCTCTACGTGGGGCTACCCTTGAAGACGGTCCGGATACTTCAATTGGTTCAGAATAGAGCTGCCAGGCTGCTGACGGGGACTGGACGTTATGTTCACATGACGCCAGTTCTCCGTCAGCTTCACTGGCTCCCCATTGAAGTCCGGGCCCAATTCAAGGTGTTGGTAATGACCTATAAAGCCCTAAACGGCTTGGGTCCTGGTTACCTGAAGGAGCGCTTACATCCATATTTGCCCAGTCGCCCCCTGAGATCGGCGGGAGAGGCCCTTCTCCGGGAGCCCTCCGTGAGAGAAATTAGGAGGGTGGCTACTCGGAGAACGGCTTTCTCAGCGGTGGCGCCTAAGTTATGGAATGCGCTCCCCAGAGAGGTCCGCCTGGCGCCGTCGTTATTTGTTTTTCGGCGCCAGGCTAAGACCTTTTTATTTAAGCAACATTTTAAATGCTAAATACAATTGAATTTTATCTGGCCAGGGCGGCTTATTTTATAATGTGAGTTTTAATTAAGATTATTTTATATGGATTTTAACTTGTTTTATCTATGTTGTAAGCCGCCCCGAGGCTTCGGCGAATGGGGCGGCATAAAAATGTTTTAATAAATAAATAAATAAATAAATAAATAGAAAGCAAAAATAGAGTTCTAGTTGAATTGGGATCAGATTTGGATAAGGCACTGGAGCAGATTCAAAGAAATTTCAGTGTAGAGGCAGAGCTAATTGTAGACAAATATCTGAACAGTCAAGACGAAAACAGAGAAGGGAGAATTGAGAGAAAAGCAGGCAGAGACACCTCTGACAAAACTAAGGAACTACACAATCATTGCCAAATGCATTGCCCAGGTAGATATTTATTGTGAGGCAGGAGCTTTCATGGCCTGACCAGGAAGATAAAATGGACCATTTAAGAATAGAACCAATCTGGGACCTAGCAGTACAGTATGTGTGTCCGTTTTCCTACACTCTTCATCCTTCTGTGGTTAAGTGTAGGAGTGCAAGTTCCAATTAATCCTGATATTAAGGCCCTCTTCAGGCGTTCTGAATCCAACATGCATTAACATTCAAGATACAACATGCATACAACATAGCTTCCATATAGCCGGAAGCACCTTATCCTGCCTAATCTTGGAAGCTAAGCAGCATCAGAAATCTAGATAGGTGACCTAAATGCTATGGACCCCATCCAGAGAGCTTTAGCTACAGGTGGTATGGAGATGATGATGATAGAAAGGAAGTGAGCACAAGCTTATTAGTTTGCCCCACCTTTGTGTTCAGGATGAACTTCTGTGACAGAGAACTTTCTGTTTCCATGTAGGCTTTCTGCATGATGTAAAGCTCCTAGAGTTCTGTCTTACTTTGCATTCCGAATCATGAACAGATCTCTTATGTTCAAAAATTGTTTGCAATTGGAAAATACTGGAATGAAACATACAAACAAAACTACCTGTTTATCTAAAATGATCATTTTATTGCACCTATATAAAGTGGATTAAAATACATAGATTAATTGAGAAATACTATTGCTAGGACTTAAGATAAAGAAATTAAACAACCAATATAATTTAAAACATTTTCAACATTGTGCCAGGAAAGCTTAAAAACATTAATTCAAAATTGACAAGAGTATTTCCCTCACTTGTAATGCCTTCTTAAATCTGCACCAGCTTATCAAAGGAAGCATTAATTAGAAAAGTAATTGCATAACCAGCTGTCCACTGCTTCCTGTCCAATGCCTTCTGTTAAGGAAGCTGCGAAGAGAATTTTTTGCAACTAATTAAAACCTTTCTGTGTCAGATCACCCTCAAGCAGCTTGATTTATATTATGTACTCCTAGTTGACTGCATATTTCAAAATTCATAATTAAGAAATAGGGAGTGGCTAAAATGGCCACAGAATCTATTAAAATATGATACCAATTGATGCATAGTACATTCCATGTCTAGTGCTTGATGTGTTTGAGAATGCTAGAGCAAGGGTGTTTTCATTAAAGCTTGAGTACTATGAGAATGTTTTAGAAAGACATGATGATTTTTGATATGCACTGTAGGTAGGCAATATATTCTTGAAACTTTGCAGAGATGATCAATGCATTGAGTTGTTTGGAAAGTGTTTTGTAATGGTGATGGAGGATTGTGGCATTTAAGATGCTTAAGTTATTTGCCTTAGTGAATATTTTCATTGGTGCTGACTGTACGAAGGTGTTGTACACCATGCAGATTGTCATAGTTTCTGCAGCCCAACAATTAAATTTGTCTAAATGCATAGAAGTATTATCAGATGGTTTGATTAAGCCCTGCTTGAGTTCTTTATCTGCATGCTACACTATTGTAGGCTTTCTTTACAGTTTTTCTTCATTGGTTTCATCTGGCTTGCCATTTCACTTGTAAAATCGTTTTACTTACTTTGAAATAACTCTTTCAAATAACCTTTTGCTTGTGCTGTATGTGGGGCTAAATGCAATGCAATAAGTTATATATGAGGCTATCCTTGAAAACAATCTGAAAACTTCAACTGATCCAAAACAGGTTAGCAAGATGGTTAGCTCAGATTCGGCAATACAATTATAGTACGCCAGTATTTTTCAGTCTACACTGGCTACCAGTCAGTTTCCTGGCCTGATGCAGAGTGCTGACATTAACATTCAAATCCTTGAGCCTGGTCACCTGAAGGACTGTCTCTTCCTGTATTAACCTGCTTGGACCCTGAGCTCATTTCTAGCAGTCCCTCTCCATAATCCCCTGCCAAAGGAAGTGGGTTGAGTAGCTTTTCTGCTGTTGCACCCTGGTTGTGGCATGAGCATTTTTTGGTACCTTGTGAAGATCTTTTTAGTCTCCTGGGCATTTTAATTTTCCAATTTTCATTTATCACTGCATTTTAAATCTTCCCATTGCTGCTAGATTCTACTTGGATATCATTTTAATTTTTATATTTCAGGTTTGAATGTGTTATTTTATATAACAGTGCAATAGTTTATTAATTGATTGTTGTGAACCATCCAAAGAGCTTTGGCTATTGGCTACCATAGAAATGTAATAAATACCTTTATGGTTTTACTCTTTTTGGTAATATTTTCCTCTCTGGAACCTTCACTGTTCAGGTACTAGTTATCTACAGTTGGAGTTCCTCATATGATCCCTGAAGGCACCAATGTATCCAGATACATGTTCCACTATGCTCTCTGCTCCTCCCACTTTTACATTATTTTAAATGCATTTTTTAATTAAAACATTAAAAAACTGGGAACCTGGCATGCTGCTGCCCTGCATGCTAGTTTTATATTCTGACTAGGTTTATCAATGGTTCATTTTTCAAGCTAGAACTATTTTTAGCACTTAACTACAGTTGGGGATCCCACGTATTTCATTTGTTCTTGGCCACAGGGATCTTGATTTCCCATATCATGTTTTAAGTGCATTTTGCTTTCTTTATGCTTGCTGACAAAAGAACATACTGCTAAGCATTTGATGTGATTGAATTTATATGGCTGCACATCAGCAGATATTGTCTGGACAGCTTGCAAGTGCATGCAAATAATATACAATTTTGAAAATGAACAAAATTGTAATAAAAATCAGGCATGATTTTCCTTTCAATTGACTTCTTTCCCCTGGGCAAAACAAAAGAAAAAGAAGGATCAGCATTGGTCAGTAGGCGAAGGTTCTCGGCAGACTTAATTCTACTCAAGTTTCATCCCAGTGATGGTAAAGATTAATTAAATGATAACATATTATTTTCTGTTGGATCACACTATTAGTCAAGGTAACTAAATAAGAGTGAAATTAAGATAGTTATTCTGGATATATGAACCCTGCTGGCCCTAGCTAGGCTAAAAAAAAAGCAAAACTTCTACAATCTAAAGATAGTGATATTAAACTGTTCAGGAATCAACTCTATTGCATTACAAAGTGATTCCATCACACTGCATTGAAGAAAGAGCACACTAAACATAAATTTGGTTTTTAAAAGTTTCATTTAGATAAGTGATTTATTTGATTCTTCTTGATTTGTTTACTATTTATTTATTTTATTTATTTAAAACATTTTTATCCCGTCTATTGTGAAACATGCCTCAGGATGGCTTACAAAGGTTAAAAATAGTAATATATTAATACAATAAAACAATAATAAAAATATTAAGTAATAAGCACAACATAAAACAACCACTTTCAAAAAACTAAAGAAAAGGAGTAAAGGAAGAAGAACAGAAAGAAAATGTGACTGTGATCAGATCTTAAAACATCTAAAATCCTTAATTATTAAAATGATGGCTAAATAAAAAGGTCTTTACCTGGTGCTGGAAAGAGTAGAGTCCGCGCCAGGTGGAACTCTCTGGGGAGTACATTTCATAGTCTCCCTTTTACTGGCAGTGAAATAAGAAAAGATGACTTCTGATACTTTTCTTTTAGTTATTTGTATAAGGGTAAAACAAAGTTAAAAATATTTACCTTTTCCAGTTTACAAGATGACAGAATTCGAATAGAGAGAATGGAAAACAAGAATTTTGAGTACAGCAATGCTTTCCAGCTTCTTACAGATTTCTACAGCAGTCGCACACTTGTTGGCACAGGTACCCTATTCAGCAAGTCCTTGAGATTTATCAAATTATCTGTTACTTGTATTGAAGATGACTTAATTTTTTTGTCAAGTGTACTTCAGTGACCTATTATTAGTTATGCATAATTCAAAGAAGTAATAGTCGGAGACAATACTCACTAAGATGTTGCAGTGTCTAGAGATAGTGTCTTCTTTTATTAACAGGAGTGTGTAAGTAGTGGAAAGAGGAAGTTGTTATTTCTTGATAGACAGTGTGGTGTGGTGGTTAGAGTGATGGGCTGGGGCTCTGGGAGATCCAGGTTCTAGTCTTCATTCAAGCATAAAGTTCACTATACATGAAAGTGGAATGACTTTGGTCACTCACTCAGTCTCAGCGTAACCTACCACATTGGGTGGTTGTTAGAATAAAATGGAGAAAAAAAGTATAAACTGACTTGGTCTTCTTGCAAGAGGGAATAATGGCATATAAACACAAAGTAATAATAATAGCAGCCAGTAAAAATTCACTTTCAACAAAAAACAAACAAAAAAAACCTCAAATGAAAATATAATGCAAGAAGTCAAATCTGCAACATTAAATCAAATAGCATGTTGGACCTGGTTTAATTTTGAATAAAACAGCAAAATAAGCACTCCAGGATATTAGTTGTTTTGGGTCATTTTGGCAGGCATGCTATTTCTTAGTTTGAACTCTGCATGTCTACTTAGAAGTTAAAAGAATTGCATTTAGTAAGGTTTAATCCAAGGTATTCATAAGATAACCTTGAGTTATTTCTTGCAGCCAAATTTTCAAGCAACGAATACTTAGCTACTTGTTCCGTTAGCTACAGACAGTTTCCCTTACAAAGATTATTGTGATTGCACTCCAGCCATTAAGTGGTTGACAAGATTAACCATAACAAAACAATGCTTTGTGGGAGTATCATTTTCTCAGTGCTATTGTCTCCCCTGCAGTGTTGTTTGACTTACACAGTCCTGTATACAAAACTGCCCAATCCATTACAAGTGAGTTAGATATTAGTCCAAATATGGGCTAATGCATGCATAGAAATAAAGGAAAAATTATTCTAGTTAAGCTTATGGAACAGGATTTTAAACTAGTGTTCTGGAACTTTTGTAAGGCATGTACATGGAAGCAGACAGAAACTGGCCAGGATCTCTATCTTGTATTTGATGGAGTCATTGAAAATAATGGGCAGAGACAAATCTGTACATAGTCATACATGCACATGTCTCCCTGTCTTTTACATACATGTGCACTTCCTTTTTCGCACATGGCGCATTGGGTTACAGTGTGTAGGCTTCCCTCCACACAAGTAGAAATGCTGAATCTAGATCTACAGATTAACATTTCAAATATGCTAAATTTGATAATGTTCCTTATCTAGTTGGGCAACACAGTTCATATACCTTAATGGGTATATTCAAATCTAATATTTCAGGCCTTAATGTAAACCATTAGCCATGTCAGTCACAAACTTTATCATTAGCAATTCTGTTCTGTTCTTTTCATTACTACATAGAAGTTTCTGTAGGATATATTCTGGTTTAACTGTCCAAATATATGGGGTAGCAAAAGAAATACTTGCTGTGGTAGTGATTAGGCTGCCAATTTGGAGAGTTGGTGGAAATACAGTGCAGGAAGACTATAGTAATTCTTGCAAGCTGAATTTTATACACAGCTGCAATAAAAGCTTCTGGGACAATTGTTACAAAAGATTATGATTGTATTTTTCAGGTTCCCAAGCACTGTCTATGATTTTAAACTTGGATAAACCGGTGTTATGCTCTTTGGCTGCTGTACTCATGTATCTTAAAGAATTCAATTTAGAAAAAATACTCTACAGCCCTGGGTAAGTCATTTTAATTTCAGAAAACCAATCCTGAATAAACAGTAGTATTGTGATAATATCATTTCTGCATACTTGGCAAATTCATTTCACAAAATTAGTGCACCATGGTTGTGGTACACCTTTGCTGCATACACAGAATTCTATAATAATTTCAATTAAAGGTAAAAAAGGGGGGAGGGGAGTTAGAAGCATTAAATTTTATGCTTCCAGTTAGTGTTGTCAGTAGTTCACTGAAGTTCTGCAATAACTAGATATAATTAAAACCAAACTAAGTGCAGAACTGCTATTGGAAAATGATTTTAATTCGTTTTTTTTAAATCCTTTCTGTTCTATCATAGATCTGCTTTTGTTCTGTTTCATAGATCAACACACTTACTGTAACTGGGTATGTTTTTTAACAGATTATTGGGCTGAGTTTAATTTAAGGTGTGTCAGATACCATATTTCATTCCCTAGTTAGTATCTGAAGAAAACATTTAACAATGAGTGTTGTGCAAATTAATGAATCGCTTAGGTAAATGGAATTTATAAGTTTACAATTTGTTCAGGAATATAATCTGAAATAAATAATTTGTTAACAGAATATGAAAGACTAAAATGTAGAAATGCAAAAGTAAATTAAGCTTTTAAAAGAAAATCTAAATTCTGATATTGTGTCCAGCCTAATAATGAATAGCTAAGACTTTATTGATGATGATTAATACAGAACAGGCAAAGAAATATTATGATCCAGATAAAGGTTTACCATTAAGTACATTGTACAAAGTGTACTTAAGATAAATACTAAGATAAATATTCTTTTACGCTGTGCATGTCTTGTGGGGACAGGACAGATGCTTCTGATGTTTCTATGATACCCATGCATAAAATATTTGGCTTTTTATGAAATTGCACTTACTTGCTGTTTCTGTAAATTGAAGGTCTTAAAGTGCTTTTTACATGTTTTGCATTTTTAATATGTTTGAGTTCAAGCTGTTTGTAAAAAGATTGTTTAAGACTTGTGCAACTGAGACTGAAAACTGTCCATTGGCTGACACCTTCCTTGGTTGTCAGGATTAACTTCACAATTTTGCTTCCCCAGCTACTACTGAACAATCACAGCTGGTTTACTGCTTTTTCATTCTTTTGCCTTATGGTTTTGGTGTTGCCTGTCAGGTCCCCAAACCATGTCAGGTTGTTCAGGTGAGCAAAATCCTTTAAATGGGAGGAAGATAGGCGCTCTTCCTCCAGTTGGTGATACTGAGCTAGATTTTAATTTATGAATTCTCCCTTTCCTAATCAATATGTTGTCACAGTTTTGTAGACCACCTCAAAAATATTCATTTATCTGCATTGTTTTCAACCCACTCTTCAGTCAGAATGGCTCTCAGAGTGGCTTATAAAAATTAATAATAAGACAGTAGTCCCCTGCTGCACCAGCAAGAGAGGAGAGTCCTTCGCATCTTTAAAGGCCAGGTTTTTGAAGTGGAAACCATAGAAAGCATGTGTGTGTGCTGGTGTATGGATTTTGTTTGTGGGTTCTAGTTTGTTGTTACAGCAATTGTAACTTGAAGAATTGATTCCTGAGTTTACTGTGTTTTCCCAGCAACACACAGTGTAATTTTTTTAGATTTTTGGCATAACAGCAACTAATTTGTCCTTAGTTTTATGCTTTTTTTCTCTTTTAGTAATTTTAAACAGTTATCAAGTGAAGCTGAAAACATGACACTTAATGGGATCACACTGAAGAATCTTGAAATCTTACAGAATCAAGTAAGGAAGTGTGCTTCATCTTGTGCATATGTCTAATAAAGAAACAAGTAACAGACGGTTACATTTCCAAAGAATGTGAATTGTTTATCTACACTTTTTAAGCCACTACATAAAATGTATTCTTTTTGCTTTTGATTAAGTACAGTTTCAACATCCTAAGCAGTTTTCAGAAGGTTAGCAGAGACAGGGGAGGATCCATACTATGGGAACAGCCACTGGAAACACCCCCTCTCATGTCATCACCAAAAATGACTCTCATACTGGTGGTCTTGGGAAAAAGTGTCTCTCCAAAAGTTCTTGGGACTGTTCGGACTTATATGGGAGAAGGTGGTCTTTCACAAGTTGGTCTAACACAAATTTGACCAAAGAGGTTCAAAGTGGGACCATAGTGAAGATCATTCATTTCCTTCCCAATACAGACATTAGGAAGTATCTTAAACTGCTGCCGTACCTCTGTCAGTTATGTTGCTCTAGTGAAACAAGCTGCTTAGCACAACTGGAACTAGCTGTTCCTGAAATAAGCCCAGAAGTGAGCAAAAATGCTAATTTCATGAACAGAACAAGTCAGCAAAGCTTTCCTTTCCTGTTCTGGAAATTATATAGCTGCTTGTTTCAAGCTTCAGAAACAGATAGTTCCTGTTGCAGTAGTTGGATCCTCACCACAGAAACATTGCTGCTTCTTGCAGGGAACTTACTAGGACTGTGAAAGGACCTTACTAGGACCTCTCTCCTGTGTCACTGTGTCCACTGCATTAGAGAGCTCCACAGAAATGCCAGTGCTTACCAAGGTGTCTTCCCATCAATGGTGCTGCCAGAGCAGGGATTCTGGCCTGCTTTTACGTCCTTTAGCGGTGTAGCCCACTCTGCTGTGGGGTGGCCTTTACTAACATTCTCAGTCCTGGGGTGAAGCTGCTCCTATCTGCAATGCCTAGACACTTAAAGCTGGGCATGGGCAATGACAGCAGCAATTCTGCTTTCATCTCGCACCCTCGGAGCATCACATCCTTTGCCACCTCTATAAACAGTCTTCAGAATGTCTTGATTGTAGATATATGCTGACCAAAGAAGGGTGCAGCACTGGGTATGTGTAAAATAAAACCTACACACAATAATCACAACAAGCATATGTAAGAGACTGCCACAATACAAAAAAACACAAAATAGTAAAATATATATTACTGACATAGTTAATAGTAAAACCATGAACACACAGCATGATTCAAATTAAAACCTAACTGATGTAATGACAGTCAAAATGTTGTTGGAGGGAGGGGGCAGGGATGGGTGGATAGATGTGACATGGCCTATATAGCAAGACTTAGTAACAGGCTACAGTGAATGCAATGTAATTTCTGTAGGAAAGATCAGGATTTGAATGAATGGCTTGAGAGCAAAGAGCTAGGAAGCTTGACTAAAGAATGTTTGGAAGAATGAGGATTGTCTGGAAGCATAAGTAATAGTGAAGCATTAAGAACACAAGTCACAAAATATTTGCTCAAATTTCACTGAGACCCTTCAAAATGTTCCTGCTCAGAAAAATGACTAGGTTGTAGATCTAGCAGATAACATATTACATAATTTTTAACCGCAGGCAATATTATTTAGCTCAAAGTTCCTGAACTATTCCAATGTGAACGTATTAATATTTCAACTATGTGACTGTCACAGAGATCAGCCTTATCAGAGGACCACAATTGCGAATGAGAGCTACTTTTTAAAAAGGGATCCATAAGGAATCAGGGAAATTACTTTCTTGATGAGAAAGGACAGTTTGTTTTGCTTAAATATTTTGTTACATGCCTTATTATTGTACTTCAATGGGATTGAAACATACAGAATGTGTTAAAAGATTTGAGATCCTCAGATTGTTCAGTTTATTCATCCTTTATTTGAACTTTTTTTAATTCATTGAATAAAACTTTGCTGTAGACTGATATGAAAGCAAAGGGGAGCCTGTTCTGGGTCTTGGATCATACACAAACTTCATTTGGCCGGCGAAGATTAAAGAAATGGGTAATGCATCCTCTCTTGAAATCGAGGTATGTATTACAGAATAGCTTTATTATTGTCAACTGCTGAGATGAATCAACTAAACTTTTTATCTTGTATTGTTTGGTAAAAATGTGGGTTTGGCTTGTCTTAGACGAAGAATGTCAGTTTGAGGAAGGAAGTCTTAGCTGTCAGACCAATTCTGTCACTGCCACTCTTAGCTTTTCTTGGAATGAAAGAACTTCTAACAGCCTTTAGTTATGTAAAAAAACCTATGTATGTATGTATTTTGTGTTTGATTTTGGCTAATCACCAAATGGGCATTTCTTTTCTGTTCTTTAAATATCTTGGCAGTGTCCTGTCACTTCTTATATTTTATATTTTACGGTAAACAAATTGACTTTTGTTATTTAGGTGTCAAACCACTTTCCTGGAATTGCATAGGAGATTCTTGCCTCGTAATCCCATGCATGTTTTCTTAGAAATAAATTCTGTTGTATTCACTGAGGCTTGCTCCATAGTGTTTCATATGTTTCTCAGTTTAGAAACTATGATCAGTTATGGAACAATAACTACCAAAGAAAATCAGTTTTCTGGTTGTAAACTTGAAACTACAATATGAAATAGGTAGAATCAGTGGTAAAATCATCCTTTATTACTGATATGGAGGGGGGCTGCATTCTGTTAGGTGGAAGCTTGTAGTTGCTTGGTACCTCATGACATTTCAGAATTTAAAACTGTATATAAAGTACTAACTAGTCAGCAGTTTATTTACAGTAATATATGAATGAGAGTGAAAAATATGATACTGGTTGTTGTGTCTGTTGGAATGCTGTTTCTTTTATCTGTTTCTTTCCTAATCAGTGTACATTCAGCAGCTTCCTCTCCTAACTTAACATCATGAATGGGTGCAGTTAAATATGCTGTAATTGTAGTTCAGAATCATTTATCATAATACCAGCTTTTCATTATACAAGCATTCTACTAGATGGCTTCTCTCTCTCCAGGAGATTGAATGAATATGGCTAAAGCTTGTTCTAGATAAAGTAGAAAATTTTGCTGAGAATTGGGTTAACATAAATAGCTTGCAGCGAAGACTGCTGATGAGAATGTGTGAGAGAGATGTTTTATCCTGGGAGACAAACTAAGCTGTCTGAGCTAAGAGTCTTGTGTGAAATGATCAAGTTGCTCTCCCCAATATTCGGATGGACTTGTCCAGATTAATAACTAGTCAGTTTTTCATGGTTAGTTGTAATTATTTTCAGTGCATCTAGGCCAGCACTGGAATCATGGTGCAAAGAATTGTTTTTTGTAGAAACATGAATGGGTTTATTGTCATACAAGCATGGTTAGAATAGTTCCTCTCCTACTACAAATCAATTAAGAATGCAGCTCAGCATGGATTATGATTTTGTCTATTATGCTAGATAGAAAAACATGGAATATTGGTCTGAGTGGTGTGAGGTATCACACTACATTATTGTGTATAACATGATGTTGAAAATTGGGGAGGTGGCCAATTTTACAGTGTGAAATTTAGCAAGCACATTCTATTGAACTATTCAGAAAGGTAAAACACTGCAGACACTAATATTTTTACTTTTTAAGCAGTAGGGAAACTTAGTAGGTCACTGCAGTAGTTCAAAAAAGATGAGAAATCCTGATTCATTTGTTGCTGCCTACTGGATTATTATATTATCTCTAGTCCATTTGTGAGAAACATGGATAGGCAACCTCCAAACATAAAGCTCATTTTAAAAATTGTGGTTTCTCCCTCAGGCTAGATTCCTGATTTATTCTCACTTGTTTTAGGGATAAAAGCCACAAATAGTAAAGGGCTGTGTTTGAAAATGCTGGACTTGCATAAAAGCCTCCTGTATCCAGGATATTAATGGTGATAAGCCCATGGAAAACTTGATGGGTGATAGAATTTGAACTGATTTAAAAATAAAGATGACAAAGTAGCTTTATAGCAAACACATAAGCAAGCATATAAAGAATATTATAAAGGCCTCTGATGAAGTGAGTCAGTAGGTAAATCTATTTAGGGACAAAGTGGCCATTAAAATTTCCTAATTCTTAAGAGTCAAGGATTGGATTAAGAAATCAACTTGGAGACAATGACATTAACTCAAAATCAGTGCTGTGCTCCATGCTGCATCCTCCTGTTAACTTTTCTTACCTCATTCTGGAGTAGAGATGTGAAGGTGCTGGGAGGTAAGTGAACCCTATTATGGACTAGCTGTAGCTTTCACTTTTCAGAGGCAGTTCCATATGAAGGTCAATACTTTAATCTGTTATGAATGTTAATAAAGCAGGAGCAATGGGCTGATTCAGGATCTGTGTGAGTACTGGGTTGGGTAAATTAGTTTGCCTATGCTCTGGATTGGAAGGGCTCTTTTAAATGTTTCCCCTTTGTCCTTCAGTACTAAGAAAAATGCCAAGCAACTGCAGTGAGGAAGTGGTGGAGTCGTCATTTCAATTGATCCTCATGTAGCCATACTCCAGAGCAGACATGTTCTGTTGTGACATTACTAGTATCACAGTTCAGCAGAAGAGATTTGTAAATCTTTTAAAGTCTGAAGGAACTTGCATCACAGTTTGGGTTTATATGCATTATGGAATTTTTCAAACAGATATGATTCAAGTACTAGCCAAGGACTAAAATGGAATAATCTGAACTGTTCTTTTCATAATATTTCCTGTATTATAGTTGCAACAAGTTAAAAGAAAAGTAAAAAAGTTTTAAAATGTCTTTCTATATTGGTATATTCATATGTAAACTGAAGATAATCCTCTATAGGGTCTTATATTTCATTATTCTTGGAATAGTATTTCAAAAATGTGTTTATGCTAGTAAGGTGAAAAAATAGGTCACTTCATATTGGATGATGTTCTCCTGACCTCCTTTTTAATATTGAAGATTAGAGCAGACAAAGTGTATGAAGGCTTCTTTTGTTTTAGATTACTGGAACTATATTAGCATAGCCATATGTGAAAATGATTAAAGTACAGATTAATCTTTCAAGAGCAGAGTGTTGCATCTGTATATTCTGTCACTGTATGCTTGCATGCATTGTTTCAGGTTGCTATATTAAGCATGCATAAATAACAAAAAATGTTTTTCAGTTCCAGTATATTGCATAATTAATACAAGTAGTGATTCTAGATATTTAAACCATTTTAGACAGTAACTTTGGAAACAGCATACAAAAAGTTGGTGTGTGCTAGGTATGTTGAATTAGGTTTCTAAATTTTTGCAAGCCGTACAGCCATTATTCTATTTCCCCTGCTATTTTCTGCTCATCTAAACATAATGATAATGATCAGCATGGTTAACAGAATATAAAATGAAAAATACCTTAGCTTGTATTTCTTATTTGCAGCTATTTTCCGTTTTATGCTATAGCAGTCAAGGCTAGCTGCAGTTATGGCACATAGCAGTACAGCCAGTGTCAAGGTGCCTTGTTTAAGGTGCTCTACTCCTGCTCCCATTTTGGTTGCTCTGCCTCCATGGTTTCTCTTCCCTTCCTTGCTCTTCCCATCTCCTTGATGCATTGTCCATCCCCATTCGGTCGGCAGTACCTTTCTTTTTACAACAAAAAATAAAATAAGAGAAAACATTAGAACAATGCTGGAGTCCTGCCTGACATCTTAATTTTTCCCAGAATGGCTCTGGACATCCATGGGTCTTAGGGACCCTCTGGGGAAATTAAGATAGTGAGTATGACTGCAACTTGATTCTGCAGCATGCCCAACTTTTTCTGTAAGTGTTTAAAAAATACATTGTTTCTGTTGTGGTGAATGCATTTGGGGACTTCAGGATTGCAGGGCCCAAGATCTGTGCATAGTTTTCTAAACCTTAGTGGCATCTCTGTTGGTCCAGGCTTAGTAAGGACCATCAGTTACAGATAAGCAGAACTTGCCTGGATTGTCTAAATGTGTATAGCCACAAATGTTCATTTTTCTGATATCTCTGAAAATCCATCTCAGCTCCTTGGAGAGCAGAGGAAGGATACCTTATTGTGTTACTAACAATTTTCCTGCTAGCAAGCTAGGAAATTGACCCTGGTCATTCAGGAGAGATGTGCATGACAACAGGGAATCATGCAGCTTAAAAAACCAAAAACCACTGTCTTGAAATTGTAAGCATTCCACTGCTGTGGGAAAAGCAAAAGAATTCTTTTAGTATTCTTCACATTTTATATTTGCTTATATGACCAGATGAGTGCTTATACCTCTTGAACAGTACAGTTGATCAGTGCTCTGCATCTAAAGCTAAGTGAAAGCTTTAGTTTTAAAGTTACACAAAAATAGCAAAAAGATGATAGATAAGGATTGCAGAATTGGTCATCTGGTATACACCAGGAATAGATACATCTCCATAGCCTACACAGCATCTGTGGTAGCAGAGCCCACCTAAAAAGGCAAGAAAAACTAAATATTGTTAAGTCAGAACAAAAATGGCTCAAAGTAATATGTCCATTCCAAAACTGAAAAGGAGGAACGGATATTTCATCAGCATTGTGATCATTAGAATTTTTTAAAGAAAAACTTGTTTAGCTCCAGCTTAGAGAAATCAAACTAATTGGTAGCGAATATCTAGACAATATAGCTAAATGAGACCTTGGCTTGTATTTGAAATTGTTCCCTTGTTCACATAAGGAGGCAATTTCCAAAATCTACAGTCTTCCTTACCCCGATTCCCAAGGATTCCCTCAACTTCCAGGAGCAAACTTTCAGAATGTGAGAAGGGCTGTGTGAAGAAAGAGGAGAAAGAAAAGCCATGTTCAAAAAAAGAGAGAGAAATGATGTATTGAAGTGCTTAAAAATGTTATGTGGCTGAAAACTTTACTGTTCTATTGGCACATTTAGAGTTCTGATTTATCTCACTATTTGCTAAAGTGTATTTTGTGTGACTCCTTGCAAATCTTTTGAAGGAGAAATAAATGTACCTGACACAACATACAGATAAGTTTTTTTTTCTTTATGGGCTTAAATTGAAGGTTCCTCAGGTTAGGAAGCCTGAGCCAATTGGGCATATGAATTTATTCATCTTGCATCTAATGTAAACTTCTAAATCAGCAGCAGGATATTTGAGAGCCTATGTATCATGAAACAAGTTAATATTTTGCCTATAACTTTGGCTAGAAGGGCGAAAAAGTTCAGACTGAATCTTCTTACCTAAAGCTTCTCAATTTTTGTTTTTGTTTTTTGTTTTAACACTAATACTAGTATTACCAAAATATGACTGGGTGATAGATGAGATATACGTTTTATATCCTGTTATTTAGTGGAAAAAATACATTTTGAGGCAAGATAACTAAATGCATTTTTTAAAATAAAGCTAACAAACCAAAAATGTTGGATTTTTTTTTCAGAAATGTTGAAAAACATACATGGTTGTTTAATAAGGAAAAACGTTCCTCAAAGGATTTAAGGAAACAGTTTGTTATACAGGGTCTTGCAGAAGTATTCATCAGTCTTTGACTTTTTCATATTTTCCTGTGTTAAAACCTGTAATGGAATTGGATTCAATTGGCAGAGTTACAATGTCATGTGCATAAAATATTTTTGTTGTGACACACAAGTGAACAGCTGTGTGCATCAGAGGCTGCAGGGTTTGCCCATTCTTCCTGGAAGAATTGCCCCAGTTCCATCAGTTTGCATGGGGAACATTGGTAACAGCAACTGTCAAGTCACGACACAGAATCAAAATCAGACTGAGGTCGAGTCCTTGACTGAGCCGATCTCAGACCTTCTGTTTCTTGTTGTTACACAACTTCAGTATAACTTCAGTGTTTAGAGTGCTCAGGGTTTAGAGTCAGTGTCTTCCTGGGAGGTAAACCTCTGTCCCAAATCCCACGTCTCTTGCATGCTGAAGCAGGTTTTCCACTGGAATTGCTTGTATTTGGTTCCAGAGATCTTGCCCTCAAGCCTGATGATTGCACAATCTCTACCAAAGAAAAGCATTCCCACAACGTAATGCTAGCCCCGGCATGCTTGATCACGCATATGGTGTTCTCAGTCAGTGAGCACTGTTGGTTTTGTTATCATCAGAGCATATAACCGTTACGATGTGTTTGCTGTGTCTCCCAAATGCCTTTCTGCAAACTCCAAACAGGATTTGATATAGGGTTGTTTCAGCAATGGCTTTTTTTCTTATCACTCTTTCATAAAGGCCAGCTTTCCAGAGAATCATTGTTCCATGTACAGTTTCTCCTATCTCTGTACCTTATTCAGCAACAAAGAGGTGAATGGTAACTCTGAATAAGGTAGAGAGATAGAAGAAACTATACATGGAACAATGCTTGACCTTGCCTGGTAAACTGGAGCTATGAAAGCCATCTCAGGTTCTTCAAAACAGCAGTGAAGTAGGGATAGAAATACAATGTAATATTAACAATAAAGATACATTTTGAAATATTCTTCTCTCTCATTATTTGCATGAGCATACAGAAGCATTAAATTGGGTACCACAAGGAAGTTATTTAGTAGAAAATCTGTGTTCAGCATCAAATATCTTCAATATCTATATAGGTTTGGAAGAAATTAATGGGGAACATAGAACCGTTTCCAGTATGCTCTTTTTTCTGTTTTCTGTCCTCTGATTTTTCATAATTGGGCTGTTTCACAAACACCCCCATCCCTTAACTGTTAGGATATTATTTCCTAAATATTTTATGCTTCTGAAAATCTTGGATGCCTGTATGCTTGTTGATATATCCCTGTTGTACATGGATAGCCTTGTTTTCTCTGCATTTAGAGAATAAATTCATCCTTCCTCCCCCATAGGTCTTTTAACATAAGAAACATTTTATATTGTTTAAAATATTTGGAATGACAAGGGAGTGTCAGAATCATAGTAGATTAACTGTTACTTGATTTTTTGTGGTATTTTAATAAGATTTCATAAGAAGTTACTTTGAGTGTTTTTTATATTTAAATACATTGTTACTGCTTTAAGTAATATTACCTTCTGTCTACCTACCCCACTAATAGTTTCACAAAGATTCAGACTTTTACATTGTCCTGGAATGAACACTTTGGTTTAAAAATGTTTTTTACAGTGAAATTAATTCTCGACTTGAAGCTGTGTCTGAGGTTCTCCTGTCAGAATCAAGTGTCCTTGGTCAAATTAAGACTCTCCTGTATAAGGTGCCAGATGTTGAGAGAGGAATCTGTAGTATTTATCACAAAAAGGTAAGTGAGCTACAAATGATTAAAACTTTAATCCATTATATTTAAATACAGCTTTCACAGGCAATTATTTTTTGAAATTTAGTGTATAATTAAGATTTATCTATTGTAAGGCAGGAAATGATTGAAATCATGTTTAATTTTAGCAGTGTCAAAGTCAAGAACTCTTTAAAAATGTATAAAAAAGTATGGATGTTTTGGGTTTCCACTGAATAAAATATGTATTAAAATATTTGTGATAGTGTTATTTAAAACAATAATTAAATATCATCAGATTGGTTTCATCACATACATGTAAGTTCCCTTCTGGCTTGGGATACCAAAAATAATATTAATTATTATGTCATGATGACCATATGAATGAATGTCCTCCAAATGTTGACAGTCGTGTTTGGGTCCTATAAACTCAAGGCTGTGGCTTCCTTATGGAATCAATCTGTCTCACATTTCATCTTCCTCCTCCTCTTCTGCTTTGACTGTTCTATCATGGTTTTCTTCTCCAGTGAGTCTTGCCTTTTCATGATGTGACTGAAGTATGATTGTCTTCATTTTGCCATTTTTGCTTTCAGGACAAAAATACGATACATCAATGATCCAAAATAGAGACAGAATTAAGAATAATGCATTTTAAAATATTAATCTTCATGTTACAATTGTTTCTACTTTCAGTGTTCCACTCAAGAGTTCTATCTGGTGGTTAACACACTCTCCCAGTTGGAAACAGCAATCACAGCACTGGTTCCAGCTATACGTACTCAGGTGCAAGCAGCCTTATTACGTGAGAGCCTCTTGGAAATTCCTGAATTACTTTGTTCAACAAAAAAGTATTTAAGCAGACTTAATGAAGATGCAGCAAAGTAAGTGAATTCAGTATATTAGTTACTTGGTGGTATGCAAGCATGATGCAACGACGTGTTAAGTAGTGGTTGTAAAAAGGGGGAAAGACAGGTGCAAAAGATTGCACAGCCTTTTCGGAATTTATATTACATGAGATATGCACAAAATGGCAAAACTGAATATGGATTGTCTTAAAAAACAAATAGAGGAATATATTAAGGAGTTTGATAAGGTCAAACTATCTTGGTTTGGTAGAATTGCAGTATGCAAAATGAAGATTATTCCCAAAATGAATTTCCTTTTTTGGATGCTACCCATTAAGATTGCAGATTCTGATGTGAAAAGTTGGCAGAATATGATTAATTCCTTTTGTAATGAAAAAAAAAAGCTAGAATTAATAAAAATTTATGGTATAAACCCCAAAAGGAAGGAGGATTAGGCTTAAAACATACTATTTAGCAAGTCAAATAAGATATATTTTAGGGGTGATGTTGGGGTGATGTTGAATTCCAAAAGGATAGAATTTGTATGGAAAAATTTTACTTAGGGAGGAGAATATTCTTCGTTGTGGCCTCTTGCATCACACATATGGGTGCTGCGCCTGCGCAGTGCCTAAGGCCGGAAAGATTAGAAAGCTAACGGTTTTTGGCAGGAAAAACTCCGCTCCCCTCCCCCTCAGTACTATATATAGAGTGGAGTGTACGCCATTTTCCCCAGTCTTTTGCGACCGCCGTTCACTGTGCCTCTTTGCTCTCGCATTGACTGATTTCTTTGTTCTTGTTAATCTCATTAATTGTTCTCTTGCATTTCCAAGTTTTTTCCTCCCCTGTTCGACTATTTCTCTCATTCTCTTTCTCTATTAAAAAAACAAACAAACCCAAAAAGATTATCTTTCCCTCTTCACTATCTTCTCTCTTTTCCCTTTTATGATGGCGCAGCGAGCGGCCTTTCGCAAATGTGCTGAGTGCGGGTCTAAGATGTCTGCTGCGGACCTGCACAATCTGTGCCTCCTTTGTCTAGGCGAAGGGCGCAGAACAGGTAAGTGTGGCCACTGCTTGGCCTTTACAAAGCAGGCCCGGAAAAACCGGGAATCCCGCCTGCAGAAGTTAATGTGGGACCAGGCCCTTATGCAATTGGACCAGTTGGTTGCAAAACCTGGTTCTGCCTCGGACATGCCTGTACAGCGTTCGGCCTCTGCCTCAGACGTGCCCTTACTGCGCCCTGCTTCTGCCTCATCCGTGCCTCCACCGCGTCCCTCAGACGAGGGCACTTCAGTGATGGGGGCTCAACAGCTTCCTTCTCCCCCTACTAAGCAACGGGAGAAGAGAAAGCACAGTGGTTCTGATAAGTCCTCCAGCCATAAGAAGGCGAAAAAGGACAGGGCAGACAAGCCGGCCTGCAAGGCGAAGAAACCCGAGCATGCCAGACATCGCGACTTGGGTTCGTCAGTGCCCTCGGTCCCGGCGGCTGCCGTGGTACTGACCCCATTGGGGTCAGCCACACAGGTTACCCCACTGGGGTCCCCTAGACGGGTTGTACGGGCTGAAAACGAGTCTCCTCAATGACTTGAGGGGCCAACGCGTGAGTCAATTTCGGATAGGGAAATCCGTGACTCCCCACCAAGAGCTCGCTCACCCACGCCGATGCCGCTGTCTAGGCCAACTGCAGAGCCCACTATGTCTCCGCCACGGTACCGACACTGCTCTGCTGAGAGGCATATCAAGGACTGGAAGCAACCCCATTGTACAAGCTACTCGGGTTGGGAGGACTACCAGTCTTTTGGGTACTATCCGTCACCATCGTTCCCGAGAGATGCACTGTCTACATTGGGACGTGTAGAGTGGAGACACCCCATGTCACCGAGGGATTCCTCATCTAGCGGACCTGCTCGCTACGAAATAGACTCGGATGAGTCAGAGGCAGACTCTACCTTCCCAGATGTGGCTATTACATCTCAAGGCCCAGGATCCCCGGAAGAACCCCATATCACTTTCAGGGAATTGATGTCTAGACTTGTTTGGTCGCTAGAGATCAAGGCACAACACCAGCCCAATCCTAGCACCAACAGGTTTTATGATATCGTTAGGGGCGAGTAGTCAGCAGCCATCGTTCTGCCCCTGATAACAACACTGCGTCAGGCGATGCTCCAACCCTGGGACCTGCCGGTCCAACCGCAGGCCACATCTCGACGTTACGAGGCCATGTACCGAGTTCGGGAGCAGGATATCCCATTCCTCCTGCACCATCCGAAGCCGAACTCGGTAGTGGTTGAGTCGTCACAGGGCAGAGAATCGAGGGGCCATACACCTCCGCGTGATAAGGAGGGCAGAAAGATCAATATACTCGCACGCCGAGTCTATGTGGCCTCTGGACTTGGCTTGCGTATCTTGAATTATGAGGTGACGCTTGCCAGGTATCAATACTTTATAATGCAGAAACTGGACAACATCTCCGCTTCTCTGCCCGACCATCAGGGAGGCTTGGCCAAAGTCTTTATTAAGGAAGCAATGCAAGTTGCCATCCAGCAGCTTTCGACAGAGTGGCATCACGTTGACACCAGTTCCAGGGTTCTGGTCGGTGCCATCTCCCTCCGTCGACACGCTTGGCTAAGAAGCTGTAATTTCCCAGAGCAGATGAAGTGACAGATTGAGGAGATGCCATTTGATGGATCGGGGCTCTTCCATGCCAGGACAGACCATAAGCTGAAATCCATACTTGAGTCACAGATGACAGCCCGACGTATGGAGATTCAGCCTCAACAGAGATGTAAGTGGTCCTGGTCTCGGCCATCATACTGCCAACAGTTTCAACCCAGGCAGCAATACCAGCAACGCCAGCAGCGCCAAAAACAACAGCTGCAGCAGCGTTTCCAACAGGGCCATCACCGCTTTGACACCGACAAGCGTCGGCACTGACAGGCCCGGCGAACCTTTCTTCCTCCAATTCCCACCTTTCCCCCTCTCATTTGGAGATCGGCTGCAAAGCCGACTCCCCATTTGGGAGTCCATCACATCTGATCGATGGGTTTTATCCATCATCCAGCTCGGATACAGAATAGAATTTGACATGGTTCCTCCGTTGAGCCCGATTCAATTTACACCATGCTCGCCGGTGTTACTTGACGAAGTTCGCCAACTACTTTGTAAAGGAGCGATTCGTCACCTCTCCCGTTCTGAGGGACTTCACAGATTCTATTCAAGATATTTTACAGTCCCTAAATGGGATGGTGGTCTCCGTTCTATCCTGGACTTGCGAGGTATTAATAGGTTTATCAAGCTTAAAAAATTTCGAATGACCACACGTCAAAATATCCTTCCGCTGCTGAGGAGAGAGGATTGGTTCGCCTCCCTGGACTTGAGGGATGCCTATTTTCACATTTCAATTCATCCTTGTCATAGGCGTCTCTTACGCTTCACTGTTGGCTCTGATATATTTGAATATAATGTACTCCCATTTGGATTAGCCACCGCTCCGCGAGTCTTCACAAAATGCATGGCCCCAGTATGCGCGCATCTTCGACTCCAGGGTGTCCAGGTATATCCTTACCTAGATGACTGGCTAATAGTTTCCCAGATCAGGGATAGTCTTCTGTCAGCCATCCATACAACTTGTGCTCTGCTGGATGATTTGGGACTATGTATTAATCACGAAAAATCATCCCTTGTCCCCACACAGGTGATCGACTTCATTGGAGTCCGTCTCGATTCTACCCTAGTGAGGGCATTTCTTCCTCCAGATTGTCAAGACAGTCTCTGCTCATGGATTCATTGGATTCAACAAGACAGGACTGTACCGGTCCTTTCCATTCAAAAACTTCTGTGCCATATGGCCGCGTCGGTTGCCATCGTTCCATAAGCCAGGCTTTGACTTCAACCTCTTCAACTACACTTCAACAAAATGTTTCATCCACAGCGGGATTCGCCCACCAAACTAATCCGGCTCCCACTGCCCGTTCTACATTCCTTGACATGGTGGACAATTCCAGTCAGTCTGCTTGTGGGTGTCCCATTTTGACCGCCCCAACCAACCGTGACTCTTTATACTGATGCATTGTTGATCGGTTGGGGTGCAGTATGTGCAGGACTTCGCACTCAAGGCACTGGGGACCGACAGGAATCAGCCAGACACATCAACTTCCTCAAACTGCTAGCGATCTTCAAGGCTCTTGGATCCTTCGAGGATATTCTTCAGCGACAAGCAGTTCAGATCGCTTCCGACAACATAGCCGCTGTGTTCTATGTGAAAAAACAGGGCGGAACCAAATCGGCTGCCCTGGCTTGGCTGTCGATATGGATTTGGGATTGGTGTATACCAAGGGATATAACTCTTCTGGCGGTTCACCTAGCCGGTACTGACAACGAAGAAGCCGACCTGTTGAGCAGACAAATGTCAACAACCCACGAATGGGAGTTGGATCGACAGATCTGCAATCAACTTTTCTGTCATTGGGGACATCCGGACATGGACTTGTTTGCTACCCATGTGAACGGGGTATGCGAGATGTTCTGCTCCAGGGCAGGCATCGGACTGGGATCAGCAGGGGATGCCCTTATGATCCTGTGGAACGATATCAATTTTTACGCTTTCTCTCCAATCCTATTCTTAACGAAAGTAGTCTCAAAGATTGCTCACGACGAGGCCACGGGAATCTTGATAACTCCATGGTGGCCCTGTCAGCCGTGGTTTTCCACTCTTCTGCGGATGTCAGACAACACCTTTCTTCGTCTTCCATTGATTCCACATCTAATAACGCAACAAAGAATGGTTTGTCATCTGGATCTTGCTTCTCTGAACCTCACAGCTTGGCGAATCCGCTGAGCATCGATACTGACTTGATACCGACAACATCTCAACTATCTGAAACTCACACTTATGGAACCGAGGCACTGCTTACTTCCTCGGATCCGATAGACTTTGCCTCGGGATCGAGAACTCTCCATCCAGATACTCAGAGAATTCTTGAATCTGCTCTACGACCATCAATGCAGAAATCTTATGCAGCAAAGTGGTGCCGATTCTCATCTTTCACTGACTCCCATTCGTTTGCTCTGGAATCAGCCTCGATCGAGAATATACTGCAGGGTCTCCTACAGCTTCATCATTCGGGACTTAAGCCATCATCTATAAAAGTTTACACAGCTGTGATTTCTTATTACCGTGGTGCAGTGCAAGGTTCATCGGTTTTTTCACAACCACTTATTAGAAGATTCATCAAAGGGCTGCAGAATCTTCATCCTTCAATTTGACCTGTCATGCCTACTTGGAGTTTTTCAGTGGTACTTCAAGCGCTTACCAGAGCTCCATTTGAACCTCTGGCAACTATAGACTTACGTCTTGCATCCTGGAAGACGGCTTTTCTCGTAGCTGTCACGTTGGCTCAAAGAGCTAGTGAACTTTGTGCTCTCCGGGTGGATCTGCCTTACTTGAATTTCCATAAAGAGAAGGTGGTTCTTCGAATGGATTCAACGTTTCTACCTAGTCACTCCGTTCCATATGAATCAGGAAATCATCTTACCTGCTTTCTTTCCATCACCATCAAACCCGATTGAAAGATCTTTACATACCCTCAATGTGCGCCGTTGCTTGGCTTTCTACAGATCGCGTACAGAGTCCTTCCGGCATTTGAACTGACTCTTCGTGAAATATTCTGAACAGGACAAGGGCTCTCCTGTCACATCACAAAGACTTTCTGAATGGATTGTTCAAACTATTGTATTGGCGTATCAACTTGCCAAGATAGACTTACCTGTTGTTCCGAGGGGTCACTCCATAAGAGCAGTAGCAGCTTCTTCTGCCTTTGCCACCGGAATTCCGATTCAAGACGTCTGTAAAGCTGCAACTTGGGCTGCTCCGTGCACTTTTGTCAGGCATTATCGCCTTGATGTGCGTGCCAGACAGGATTGCTCCTTCGGTAGAGCAGTCCTCTCTGCTGTCCTTCAGTGACAACATCGCCCTCCTCTGAGTCTGGTAAGCTTGCTAATCTACCCATATGTGTGATGCACAGAGGCCACGACGAAGAAAAGCAGGTTGCTTACCTGTAACTGATGTTCTTCGAGTGGCCATTTGTGCATTCACACAACCCACCCTCCGGCCCCGCTCAGTGTCGGTGAGTGGATTCCTCTGTCGGTACTATACCTTAATAGTCATGGTATATAATGAACTTATTGCAATATTTCTCTCTCCCGAAAGGAGGTGAACGATCGGTCTTTCAAAGACTGGGGAAAATGGCGGACACTCCGTTGTATATATAGTACTGAGGGGAGGAGAGCGGAGTTTTTTCCACCAAAAACATCAGCTTTCTAATCTTTCCAGCCTTAGGCACTGCGCAGGTGCAGCACCCATATGTGTGATCCACAGATGGCCACTCGAAGAACATCAGTTACAGGTAAGCAGCCTGCTTTTCTAGATTTAAAGAAAATAGAAAATACATTTCTAAAAAACATGTTGGAATTGTGGAAATATAGTAGGAAGATTTTAAGCCTGGTAATTTCCCCATTAACTCCAGTAACTGCAATGAAGAATTTTCCTGAGAATTTGAAAGGTGAGTTACAGAGAACATATTAAGAGTATTAAGTATTAAGAGAACAGAACATATTTAGATTGAAGGACTAGTTAAACATTTTGGATAACAAAGAGAAAATGGGTCAAATATGTGCAGAATTGAAGGGTTCAGGTTAGAAGATGATTCAGTTACAAAACAGGGTGGTGGAAATGAGGAAAACACTTGGTGAAATAAGTAAATTAACTAAATTTAATTTGGACAATGATATTTAAGCAAATTAGTGATATTATGGATAGAAAGATTTTGATGTGCCCGATTATTGCGCTTTTCAATACTTTTTTGGATTCACAATTAAATAGAGCACAACAAGAATTAATTATTATTATGGTTACTGCTGCCAGATTACTAATAGCTAAAAACTGGAAAGATATAGATTTAATCAACATTGTTGACTAGTATAATGAAATGTGAAACCATTAATGACAAATTAACATGTGATTTGAAAATTAGGAGAGGGAAAAGGAAAATAAATGATTTTACAAGTAAATGGCGTTTTTTTTAACTATATGTATTAGAGAAACATAAAGGGAAAAATCCAGTGAAAGATTTGCTGCTTTTTTGGATAGACACAGGATATATCAGTGATCTTTAGTAAGCTTTACTCCGGAGGGTGATGGGAGCACTATGTTGTTATGTATAGTTTTAGTTTATGAGGTTACATCTATTTTTAACCTATGTTGTTATGTATAATTTTTAGTCTATATATTATGTAATTTATGTTATTCATATAATTTTTATGTAGTTTTTGTTAATAAAAAATAAAGATTGCACAGCCTACTTCTTCTGAACTGATCCCACTCACCCAAAAGGCCATCTACCATTAGCTGCCCTTTAGTGACAGAGAGAGAAGCAGATTATTATTATTATTATTATTATTATTATTATTATTAGAACATGTCTATGCCGCCCCTTGCCGAAGCCTCGGGGCGGCTTACAACACAATAAAATACAATACAAAAATAACAATATAAAATTAAAATTAATAATATAAAATAAATAAAAAATATAAACGATATAAAAGAAGTTATAAAAGAAAAGAAAAGAAAAGAAAAGAAAAGAAAAGAAAAGAAAAGAAGTCGCCCTGGCTAGATAAATAAGTAAATATTGTTAACAATTAAAATGACGTTTAAATAAAAAGGTCTTCACCTGGCGCGGAAAAACAACGACGGCGCCAGGCAGACCTCTCTGGGGAGCATATTCCATAGATTGGGCGCCACCGCAGAGAAAGCCCTCCTCCGAGTACCTACCCTCCTAATTTCTTTCACGGAGGGTTCCTGGAGAAGGGCCTCTCCCGCAGATCTCAAGGGGCGGTCGGGCATATATGGATGTAAGCGCTCCTTCAGGTAGCCAGGTCCCAAGCCGTTTAGGGCTTTATAGGTCATAACCAACACCTTGAATTGGGCCCTGACTTCAATGGGAAGCCAGTGAAGCTGTCGGAGGACTGGAGTCATGTGAACATAACGCCCCCGTCCCCGTCAGTAACCTGGCAGCTCTATTTTGAACCAATTGAAGTATCCGGACCGTCTTCAAGGGAAGCCCCACGTAAAGCGCGTTACAGAAGTCAAGGCGGGAAGTCACCAGCTTCCAATGAAAGCTCCGGGTCGAGGAGTACTCCTAAGCTGTGGACCTTGTCCCTAAGAGGGAGTGCAACCCCATTCAGGACCAGGTCAAATCCACCCTCTCCGAAGCCAGATCCGCCAACCAACAGGACCTCCGTCTTGTCTGGATTGAGCTTCAGTTTATTGGCTCTCATCCAGCCCATTACCTCGGCCAAGCACCGGTTCAGCACAGCCACTGCCTCACCTGGATTAGTGGAAAATGAGAGGTAGAGCTGGGTATCATCAGCGTACTGATGATTCCGCAGCCCACACCTCCTGATGACCTCTCCCAGCGGTTTCATATATGTGTTAAACAGCAAAGGGGACAAAATGGACCCCTGTGGTACTCCATGTCATAGCTGCCATGGCGCAGAGCCATAGTCCCCCAGCACTACCTTCTGGAAACGGCCGTTGAGATAGGAGCGGAACCACTGCAAAGCAGTGCCTCCAACCCCCAATCCCGCAAGCCTATCCAGAAGGATACCATGGTCGATGGTATCGAAAGCCGCTGAGAGGTCCAGAAGAACCAACAGGGACGCACTCCCCCTGTCCTTCTCCCTGCACAGGTCATCGTACAGGGTGACCAAGGCAGATTCAGTACCGTACCCGGGTCTGAAGCTGGACTGAAATAGGTCCAGATAATCAGTTTCATCCAAGAGTGCTTGGAGTTGTCCCGCCACCACCCGCTCTAACACCTTGCCCAGAAACGGGATGTTGGCCACTGGTCTATAGTTAGTGGCCATCTCTGGATCCAGTGACGCTTTCTTCAGGACCGGTCGGACTACCGCCTCCTTTAAAGGGGCAGGCACCCGACCCTCCCTCAGAGAAGCGTTAACCACTTCCAAGATCCAGGTCCCAATCCCGTGCTTGGAATTATTTATTAACCAAGACGGGCAAGGGTCCAATAGGCAAGTGGTGGGACGTACTTGTCCAAGCACCTTGTCCACATCATCGGGCCGCAATAACTGAAATTCATCCAATAATTCTGGACCAGACGGCAGCATTGGCGTCTCCCCAGAAACCTCTGATTCATTAGTGGAGTCCAGCTCGTGACGAATCTGAGCGATTTTCTCCTTGAAATGCCTGGCAAAGTCGTCACAGCGGGCCTTTGAGGGTGGAACCGGATCTTTCTTAGGATCCGGGCGAACCAGGCCTTGCACCACTCGAAAAAGCTCCACCGGATGGCATTGTGAGGAGGCAATGGAAGCGGAAAAAAACTTCTTTTTCGCCGCCTTCACCGCCACAGCATAGGCCCAATAGTGGACTCTCAAGTGTGTTCGGACAGATTCATCCTGTGATTTCCTCCACCTATGCTCTAGCCGTCTCCCTACCTGCTTCATCGCCCGCAATTCAGGTGTATACCAAGGGGAAGAGCAGAATCTGCCCGGTGGGAGAGGACGCTTAGGAGCGATCGTGTCCACAGCCCTGGTCATCTCCCTGTTCCACAGTTCGACCAGAGCCTCGATAGGAGCACCAGTCTTATCAGCTGGAAACTCCCCCAGGGCTTTCAGGAATCCATCTGGATCCATCCGGCTCTGGGGGCGGACCCACACAATCGGATCCGCACCCTTACAGAGGGAGAGGTTGCTCTCGAGCACAAACCTCACCAGGAAGTGATCTGACCATGACAGGGGAGTCAAACATAAATTCCTCACCCTCAGGTCACCCTCTTCCTGCCCTGTCGAGAAAACCAGGTCCAGAGTGTGTCCACGTTCATGGGTTGGGCCGGAGACATGTTGAGACAGGCCCATGGCCGTCATGGAGGCCATGAAGTCCTGAACCGCCCCGGTTAGACCAGACTTAGCATGGAGATTGAAGTCCCCCAGGACCAACATCCTGGGGGTCCTCAACACCAGGTCTGAGACGGTCTCCGTCAGCTCAGATAGGGAGACTGTTGGGCAGAAGGGTGCATGGTACACCAACAGAATCCCCAGTCTGTCTCGTTCGCCCAACACCAAGTAGAGGCACTCCAGCCCTGGCCTCGAAGGGACCGGAAGTCCTGTGAGAGAGATGGAGGCTCGGTAAACCAAAGCGACCCCCCCTCCCCTCCCCTCTGGGCGTGAACAGTGCTGAACCAGATACCCGGGTGGGCACAGTTGAGAGAGGGCAACATCCCCCCCCTCCCGCCCAGGTCTCTGTTATGCAAGCCAGGTCGGCCCCCTCCTCCACAATCAAGTCATGGATGAGGGAAGATTTATTATTGACCGACCTGGCATTGAGCAGCAGCACTCAGGCCTGAGGGGCGGTTGACAAGGCTACCTGGCACCCTCTGGCTGGGGGAAGAACCAGAAAGAGGGACAGGTGTCAACCATCTGTCTCGCCTTCTTCTACGCAGACACGTTAAGCCCCCACCGCTGTTACGTCCATTGCCCATGACCATGCCAATGGCAGCACCCGCGCGCTCCCCAGGAAACATAAACGTCGATATGGCCAGGGACGACTCCATAAAACAGATTAAACAGAATACAATTATAAAAGCAGTTAAAGAAAAGAAGAGAAGAAAGGGGAAAAAAAAATTCCCCTTCCATCTGAACACTCCTTGGCCCAGTGCCAAATTCTATCAATTGCACTGTAATAAGGTTCCTGCTTTTTTCTGAAAGAGTTAATGTTGTTTATTTGATTTTAGTATTTTTAATATTCCTATATGTCTTTGATAGCTTTGTACTTGAAGGGCAACCAATAATTCTAATAAAAAATTACAAACGCTTTCTAATCCTTTCTCCCTGCTATGATACCCCAAGGAATGAGACTACTATTACCATCCTGCTACCCCCTTAATTATCATCAGGCAAAGCACTTTTGTCTGTTAACCCACTAGTTCTGACATGCTATTTGGTACATGAAGAAAATGAGCTTATACATGGTGAAGCAAGTTAAGTAAGACGAGTTTAATGGCTTTAATGCAGTGCAAGGAATAAGGATACATAACAAAAAATGAGATTTTATATTCACACACCTGTAGAGGAACACCTACATTTACCCTAATCTAATCTAACATACATCAAAGTCTTTTTATATATTAGAGTGATTTTAGATTGACTCACTTGAGAACTAGCCTGTTTGTGAGTTCTGTGAAGCAGGAAGGGAAACCTCTGGACCAATAAGTGGCCATAGATCAAGCATCTGGTAAAGTAAGATTGTTGCCCTTGAAAAATCTTCTGGTGAAGGGGCATGAATCAGACTGAGATCATGATGTGGGGAGAAAGGTATTTAATCCTCTGTCTCACTGCAGTCTTGGTCAGATACACCCTTTCCCAGCACCTGTTTCTTCCATTGTGAATAGCAGGTCAAGAAAGAGAAATGAGAAATCAAAGGCCCTTCCTAAGATAGTGGAACAAGATATTGGTCCAAGTTGATCAATTATTAGTAGTTCCTGGCATATCACAGTGTTGATCACTCCAGTTTTTTTAAACAAGTGAGATTAAATTAGTCTGACAGGATTTATTCTTGATAAATCCATGTTGGCTTTTATTAATCACTGCATTTTGTTCAAAGGGCTTGCAGACTGAGTCTTTAAATAATTTGCTCAAGAATATTTTCAGGGATTGATGTCAGACTGACTGGTCTTTAACTCCCAGGTGCTTCTTTTTCCCCTTTCTTGAAGGTGGGGACAACGTTAGCCCTTTTCCAGTCATATGGCACTTCTCATATTTTCCATGAAGATAATAGGCAATCCAAATATTTGGGATAAATTAGGCCTGTTAAATCTCCAGTTGTATCAATGATTCATGTTCTAGATTTTGATATAGGACTATCTGAGTTTTATGAGAAATACTAGACATAGGTATTTTAAAAAAAGAATTATATTCTTGATTAAAATTTAAATGGGATGGAATTAATTTTCATGCTAAGAACTTCTTAATGTCTTCTTAATGTCTATATGAAGACATCATATACATTGTCTTCTTGTATATGAACATAGATAGAATGATATATTATAGTCTTAAAGATTCACAAATTGGTATTTTTTGCTTAGCATGCTACAAATGTGAAAACAAGTGAAGTGGTTTCTATCATGTGATGAGGTTTGTCCATTAGCTGAAAATTATTGGAGGAATAGGAAAACATGAAGAGAAAAATAATTTTAGGCTGCTCAGTGGAGATCCTTAGGTAATAGCAATACAACATTGCATATGTATTACTTATATTAATGGCCATGAGAGTTTTTCATGCAAAAATACTGGAAGACATTCAGTCTACCTAATGTAAGGGTACATATTATAAAATTGTGGGATTATGCTTCAATGATTATTTCTAATCATGCAAGAACAAAGTAAAAATTACATATTAATGCTAATTGGTTAATATTGCTTACCGTGTGGTAAATCAATTCCCAAGTTTCCCATTTAACAATACTGAAAACTGTCATGAAGTTCATTTATAATTACTGAAAGTTTGTTTGTAATCGCAAGAGAGAATTTATTTCTCTCTCCTGCTCACCTTATTTATGTACTTTTAATCTGGCTGCACAAAAATCTTAAAGTATGATATTTAATTTGAAAGCCAATGGATGTTTGTTTTTCCCTTCCTGTAAATAGTAAATTTGTAATTATAGTGCTTTATATTTAATTATTCCTGTGGTTCTTCATTGTGGTCTCTGTGCTTGCATATCACACATATGGGTGTTGTGCCTGCACAGTGCCATGTTCAGGAAGATACCTCTAGCTAAGGCTAGAATTTTTGGTGGGAGTCCTGCCTCCCTTCACCATTTCAGCTACGTGTGACTGTGGACCTGCGCCTCCTGGAAGGTCTCTTTACTGGTGGCGATTACCTCGGCTTGCAGAGTGAGCACATTATGGATAGATCCTCCATACTTGACATTTCATAAAGGAAAAGGTGCTCCTTTGCACTGACCCGTCTTTCCTCCCTAAACTATCATCCTTGTTGCATGTCAGTCAAGAAATAGTGCTTCCAGCATTTTACCTGTCACCATCTACAGACACTGGAAGAGCTATTCATATGCCCTAGCCTTCTATTGGTCCCAGATCGAGTCAGTTTGCAAAACAAAACAATTGTTCATCAAATATGCAGACCATTCCAAAGACAAACTGGTTGTTTCCCAGCATCTCATGCATCACAGATAACAATCAAGTTAGCGTATCAGCTAGCAGACTTAGACTTGCTGGACCACCCTAGAGCTCATTCCACCAGGGTGATATCAATGGCCCTCCACATGGGATTATCGTTAAATGCACTGTGCAGAGCAGATACATGGTAAATACTACCCATGTATTTACCTCGATGTGAGATAAATACCTCACATCAAGGCAATTTACTACTATTGCCTCGATGTGAGAGCCAGATAGGACTGCTTCTTTGGTCAGGCTGTGTTGTCAACTATTATCTTGTAATGACATCTCCCACCTCCTTTAATGGTGTGCTTGCTAATCACCAATATGTGTGATGCACAGAGACCATGATGAAGAAAGGCAGGTTGTATACCTGTAGCTGTTGTTCTTCGACTGGTCTTCTGTTGCATTCACACAACCCATCTGCTGGCCCCACATGAGTAGCTTCTTTCTCCTTCCCTCCCTCCCTCCCTCCCTCCCTCTCTCTCTCTCTCTCTCTTTCTTTCTTTCTTTCTTTCTTTCTTTCTTTTCCTCCTTCCTTCCTTCCTATTTACACAGTGATAAGAAAGTTAGGATCTTAGCCAGGGGCAAACGACAGTTGAAAGTGAACTGGGAAAATGGTGGGAGCCTGCCTATTTATATAGCAGGGAAGGGGGCTGGGGCTCCTGCTAAATTTCTAGGCTTAGCTAGAGGAATCTTCCTGAACATGTTACTGGGCAGGCTCAGCACCCATGTGTGTGAATGCACAAATGACCACTCAAAGAATGACAGTTAAAGGTATGCAACCTGCCTTTCCTTACTATGTCTGATTTCCCCAAGATCATGCATGTCTTAGTTAAATCCTGTTTGGATTACTGTAACATTCTCTATGTAAGACTCCTTTCAAAATCAGCTCAGAAAGGCAGTAATGGTTATGATCTTGGGATCAGGCTACTTGAAACACTGCCTTCTCCTGTCTTTTTTTTTTTTTTTTTTTGGAATAAGTTTTATTCTTAATATACCTAACAACAACAACAACAACAAAACTAAAAAGCATCAGTCATCGAAAACATCAGACCTACTGGGTCAGCCCCCCACATTTTTTCTTTTTATGTTAAAGTATAAACATGTTTAAGCCTATGCGTAGTCCCATTTCTCTAGCCAATAATAAAAAGAATCCCAGGTTTGATAGAAGTTTGTATCTTCTTTTTCCCTCAGAGACAAAGTCAGTCTATCCATTTCTGCACAGTCCAAAATATTTTTTAGAATCAGTTCATCGGAAGGTGGTTCTTCACTCTTCCAGTGTTGGGCAAATGCAATCTTCACCGCAGTAGCTACATGTAGAGTCAAATACATTGCTTGTTTACTAAGATCATCAGGTACAATGCCTAATAAGAAAACTTCAGGTTTAAATGTTAACGGTTTTTGTAACATTTCCTCAAGCTATTTGTGTATTTTAATCCAATAGTTTTTTGCTTTATCACAAGTCCACCACATATGATAATATGTACCCAATTTGTATTTGCATTTCCAACATTCATTTGATATATCTGGAAACAGCTAACTTATTTGGCGACAAATACCATCTGTAAAACATTTTATACAAATTCTCTTTATATGAAGTTGCTAATGTTACTTTAATATTTCTTTCCCACAGTTTTTGCCATTTCTCTAACTCAATATTATATCCAAAATTTTGTGCTCACGTTATCATAGTTTCCTTAACCTGTTCATCTTCCATTCTCCTCTCCAGTAGGAAATTGTACAATCTTTTAATCATTTTCTCATCAGATTTAATGCCTTCTCCTGTCTTAAGATCTTTAACATCTTCTGGAGAAGCCCTTCATTTGAGATTGTGACCATTAGAGCTGTGTTTGGTGATATAAGACAGAGCTTTTTTTGGTGTTTACTTCTGCCCAAGGGAGACTAGATTTTCCCTCTTTCTCCTCTCCATGCAAAGACTGCTTTGTTGAAGAAGGACTTAGGTCTATAAGCAGGTCTACTGGATTTGATGCTGTTTCTAATTTGTCGTTCCCCTATGATTGTTATGTTTTTGTTGTACTTTGTTTTAAAATCAATTTTAAGTGTTCCTTGAATGCATTTTTAGTAGAAAGCTGGGATGCAAATAAAATAAATATAATCATTATACCATTGTTAGGCACATGAATATTTACCACCTTTTATTAGTATTAAGCAATATGTGAGCTTTTTCTGTAATTAGAACTGGAGACAAAGCGGAATTGTTCAAGGATCTTGCAGATTTTCCTGTAATAAGGAAGAGGAAGGATGAGATTCAGGCAGTAGTTTGTCAGATGCGGACACACCTTCAGGATATACGAAGAATGCTAAATTCCCCCTCTGTAGATTATGTAACAGTATCAGGACAAGAGGTAACATAAATATTGATTATTTATTTTTCCTTTTATGTGTTATGTGTGCTGACATTTTATAATTTTAATAACTGTATAATTATGTTCATGTCTTTAATATTTAGCCATCTTATGTTGTTCCCTGAAATGTTTCAGGACTGTTAGCATGTTACTTTTAGTAGTAGGTTTGCAAAAGAATAACTGGCTTTGACCCTTGTTTTTATTTGCTAGGATTTTTGGGGAAAAAAACCTTTCCAAATATCATAATTTTGTTCTGAAAATATAATTGTATGGGAATGTGATTGAAAGGGATCTTATAACAAGTGAAAAACTGATTAAGCTGTTTGAAATGTAGCTTATAAGTATTGAATATCAGTTACTAAAATGATAAGAATGAGAACAGGAGACCACTGAGCACCCACAAAATGTTGTGGAAGGACACTTTAAATCCATTCAACTTAACAATGAATATTATAGAATATACTAAGGCACTTTTGCCCAAGTTGGTGCCCTCCGGATGTGTTGAACTGTGACTCCCTTTATTCCCAGACTTTTGGCTGTGATAGGGAATGGTGGGAATTGTAGTCCAGTATATCTGAAGGACACCAGATTGGGAAAAACTATTTTAAGAACTTTCTAATGAATGAATTCACACAGGTACTCTTGTGCTTTTTGTTTGTTTTTCAGTCTTATTTTTAAGTATTATGTTATTTGCTTCTAAAAAGTTCAGTGGAATGGTTGATTCATCAGTGTTGCCTTTTAAAAAACATTCCCAAATTCAGAACCACAGACAGAGTTTATCTTGCTTGCTCTTTGGTTACCCTTGAAAAAGGCTTTATTGATGGAAGATAATCTCTTTATAAAGAACTTTTTAATATCTGGGATTAGATGAATAGTAATGATTTGAAGTTAATGCAGCTAGGCTGGTTACATGTGCCTACACTGGTGAGAAGTCTGGAAAATAAATACGGGATTTAGAACTGAAGTGCTTGAAAAATCAGTGCAGTAGAGGAATATGGTAATTTAAAAATAGTTATGATCTGTCCATTTGAAAATATACAAAGCATACATCATTGGTCAGTCAAACTGAAAAGAACAACATATCTAAGAACCACGTGTATTATAAAATTGTTGTCTTCACTATATTTGCAGCCCAGTTCAAACCTTTCAGTAGAACAACCACTGGTGAAGATTAGCATTTCTACAAACAAGAAATCAAGAAGTTTCACAGAAAAACTATTTTGGTTCTACATTTTATCTATGTGGTACCAGGAAAAAATAACATAATAAAGCACTTAGGGTAAACAGCACATTTTTTTTAGTGATGAAGATAGAAATGGACAATATTAGTCCCATTTTGCCTTTTTTCACTTAAAGTGTGAGATTATTCTTATGCCGAAAAATGGATATTTGGATCCCAGTTTTGCAATTGAGTAGTTTATTTGAATATACTGTATCTGATGAGAAACTTCCTTCAGTTATGGGCTCCATTCAGATGTAATGATAAACCAAAGTCTGAAGTTGGTTTGCTTCAGGACACCACAGTGAAGGTTAACCACAGTTTGTCTAGGTTGAGGCATAACAACAAGCAATGATAACCATGAAAGTAACTCCATTTGATTGAGCCAGTTTATCAGGTAGCAAGCACACCAGCCTGAAGTTAACTGTGTCTTTTTCTCATAATAATAAAAGTGTAGTTTACAGCCTCTTGTTACCCTGGTTTGTTCAGGAAACCCTGGACTCTAAGATATGAAAATGAAAAGCCTCTTCCTAATTGAACCAAGTAGGGTAGAGATAGCTAATGGGTCATACATTGCCTGCCTGGATAAACACAGCCAAATTAGGTGATAGAAATTTAGAGTGGTACTCCTCTTAATCCTGTGGTTGTTTGATTACCTATAATTTGCTTATGAACTGAAATCATTGTGGGGTTTATTGTAAAATAGGGCATTTTGCTTCATTAACAAAGTAGAATGCGCAGCACAGTTAGTTACTGAGGCATAAGTTTTTGTGGACAAAGATATATCAGGCAAGCCTTGATCCATCAAACATTATTTCACAATTAATATGTTAGCCTTTAGAGTTGCAAAAAAACTCTGCAATATACTCACAGTTTTCCATTTGATATTTAAATCATATATGTCTTAGTTTCAGATTGAAGTTAAAAATTCCCGTGTGTCTTCTGTACCATCAGACTGGATTAAAGTTAGCAGGTGGGTAAAGATGATAGAATTTAATGGGTTTACGAATAATTTTATCATTTACATCAAGACTGTGCTATCTGGTGTCCTCCAGTACATCTAGCCATCATAGTCAATGCTCAGATATTATGGGTGTTGTAGCCTGAAGTATTTAGAGTGTACCAGGTTGCCTGTAGCTTATAGCTCCCCACCCCCAATAAACAAATAAATAATTCAAGCACTTGACTAATGGGAGAATATTTGTAAAAGGACTTGAAAGAAATATGATAAGAAAAATATTCCTGTGTTTCCAATATTCCTGTGTTTATAAGGAAGATCTGATAAAACAGTTCAGAGAGCCCTAAAACTATTAAAAGGGCAGCTCAAATCTTTATCTAAGAGAGCCAGTATGCTGTAGTGCAGGACTAGGACTCAGGAGATCTGGGCTCTTGCCCCTTCTCAGGCATGGAGCTCACTGGGTGACTTCAAATCCTCACTTGGTGACTTCGGGCCAGTCACAGATTCTTAGCCCAACCTACCTCACAGAGTTGTTGTTGTGAGGATAAGATTCAGAGGAAGAGGAGGAGAATTATGTGAGCCACCTTGACCTCCTTGGAAAAAAAGATGGAGATATAAGTATAATAAATCTCTGTTTTTAGATTAAAAATAACTAGTCTTTCTGCAATCTGATAGAATTTTTGTTCTGTTTCAGAACAAGAATAATTGTTACCACTAAAAATGATGTAATCTGCTCTTATGCATGTTTTCTTAAATTTAAATGTATAATCGTCCTATCCTAAAAAATGTTGTATTCGGTGGCAGTTCTTTGTAGAATGAATTACATTATGATTATTGACTCCCAGTAGAGACTTGGTTTTAGTAAAAATATGAAAAATAGGAAAAAAACCTGGGAATATAGGAGAGAGCGGGACACATGACCACAATATCCAGTCCTTGCTTGAGGCTCCAGCAGTCCAAGAGTAAATGGATGTCTGGTTGGCTTTCCATCTCAAGCTATTGCCCTAGAATTTTGCTCAAAGAGAAACTAGGGATGATCCAGAAGTCCAGGAGATGGCATTGGTGGGAATACTCCAGTGGAAAGTGTCTTTAGTCAACCATGGCAGGTGAAAAAATGAAACTAGCACATTTTTTACTAAAAATCTGACTTTTAAAGCTTTGTTGAACAAAAGAATAGACATCACAATTAGTGCTAAATCCCAAGACTTGCCTAGGTATAAGAAATCGGAGGTGCCTAGTCACTTGATGGAGGATTTGATTATCTTTCCTGCAAAAGCTATTTGGTTCTTTTCCTTGATGTTGTGGTCTCAGAAGAGGAATCTTATTTACAGATAGAAGAATCTGGTTCTTAGGGCATAGTCAGAGTGTATGATGTCAGCATGCTGGAATTAATCTCTGCCTAGTTTCAAAGAACACTGCCTTCTGTGGTACAGAATAAAATGATGATGAGTTGCAGCCTGAGCTAGGCTGGGAAGTAACATCTCAGTTGCACAGTCTTATTTTTTGATAAGAGCTAGACTCAGCTGGGAAATGAGCAATATAGACAGCTGGGAAGGCAAGAGAAAGGCAAAGTTTGTCAGTCCAGGTTTGGATTTCCCATGGGATGAGAGTGAAAGTAAACCATAGTAGCTGCATCCTCTTTATAACAGTTGGCATAAAAGAGGCAAGAGAACTTTGTGGATATACTCTCTATGGTGCTGGACATTCATTTCATACAAAAACATAGAAAACATAGAAAACAGAGCAAGTCAGAAGGGGCCTCCCGGGCCATCTAGTCTGACCTCCAGCACCAGCCGGCTCCGCTCACGACATGCCCACCATGTGGACGTCCAGCCTGTCCTTGAACACCCACACCGATGGGGCCTCAACGGCCTCTCGTGGAAGCCCATTGCACACCCTTGGGGTCCTGACTGTCAGGAAGTGCTTCCTGGCATCCACACGGAACCTTGGCTCCCTGAGTTTTGCTCTGTTGGAGCGCGTCCTGCCTTCCTCTGCAGGGGAGAACAGGTCTCTACCCATCTCCATGTGACATCCCCTCACATACCAGTATGTCACCAACATATTCCCTCTGAGTCTTTTCCAGGCTGAAGAGACCCAGTTCCCTCAGTCTCGCCTCATACGACATCCCCTGCAAACCGGCCACCAACCTTGTGGCCCTACACTGCACTGACTCCAACCTGGCTATATCCTTTCTGTAATGAGGGGTCCAAAACTGAACACAAGTTGTGGGAGCACTAGAGTCATGTAGAGTGGTAGTAATACCTCTCTTGATCTAGAAGTCACACTTCTGGCTATGCAACCAAGGGTGGCGTTCGCCCTCTTGACCACCTCATCACACTGCTGACTCATGTTTAGCCTGCAGTCAACCAATACCCGAGGTCCCTTTCACAAATGCTGCTCTCCAGCCACTTATCACCTAACCTGTACTTACGACACCTATTCTTATGCCCCAAGTGCAAGACCTTGCACTTATCCACATTGAACGCCACCCTGTTGTCTCCTGCCCATTTCCATAGTCTGCCCAGATCCTTTTGGATCTGGAGTACCTGCTCCTCAGTTGTGGCCACTGCTCCAGTTTTAGTGTCGTCTACGAATTTGATCAGTAGACGGTTCACCCCTTCTTCCATGTCGTTAATGAAAAGATTAAACAGGATCGGCCCCAGGACAGAGCCCTGGGGAACCCCGCTTGTCACTGGCCACAATCCCGATGATTCCCCGCTAATGGTTACCTTCTGCTTTCAGTCAGTCAACCATGCCCTAATCCACCGGACAGTGCTTTGGTGTATCCCAAAACTCCTCAGTTTCTCCACCAGGATATCATGGGGCACTTTGTCAAAGGCCTTGCTGAAATCCAGGTATACCACATCCACTGCATCCCCTCCATCTAGCCATCTCGAAACCTTGTCATAGAATTCCACAAGGTTTGTCTGGCAGGACCTGTTTTTGCGGAAGCCGTGTTGTGTGGCTGTCAGCCTCCCTTCCCTATTTAGCATCACTAGATCTCTCTCTATTATGAGCCTTTCCATTGTTTTTCCTACAATGGACGTAAGGCTAACCGGTCTATAATTCCCCATGTCCTTTCTACTACCCTTTTGGAAAATTGGAACCACTGACGCCACCCTCCAGTCCTCTGGAACTTCACCCGTTCTCCACAAGGTCTCAAAAATGGAGGCCAGTGGGCGTGAGAGAACCCCTGCCAACTAAGTACTCTCGGGTGTAACCCATCAGGGTCTGGCACCTTTGTAATGTCCAATGCCCTGAGGAGCCCCTCGACTTCAAGGGTGGTGACTCTAATCTGTGCCCCTAAGTCCCCAGCCTCATCTAATCTATGCGGATATCCCCCATCCTGCTTTGGGGAAAACACAGAGGCAAAATAGTCATTTAGCATCTGTGCCTGTTCCCTCATATCAGTCACTGGATCTCCTTTCTCCTTATTTAGTGGTCCCACCACTTGTCTCCCCTTCCTCTTCCTATTTACATGCTGAAAGAAGCCCTTTTTGTTGCTCTTGATATTCTTGGCAAGTCTCAGCTCATAATCAGCCTTAGCCTTGCGAAGAATCCTTCTGCAACGGGCCTTCTCCTCCTGGTATACCCTTTTGTCTTTTTCCCCCAGTGCCCATTTCCTACTGAGGTTCCTCTTTCGTCTAATCCCTCTAAGCACCTCCTTTTGCATCCATGGCGGCACTCTCCTCCGCCTCCCCACCTTACTGACTAGAGGTATCGTCAAGGCTTGCGCCTCCTAAACTTCCCTTTTGAGTGCTATCCACCCCTCCTCAACTCGCTTACCTTCCAGTAACCTATTCCAGGAGACTTTCCCCAGTCTGGCCTTCAGTTGGTCAAAGTTGGCCCTCTTGAAGTCCCAGCTTCTAGTGCTCGACCTGCTGCACGTCCCCAGTCTCCTAATCTCAAAGCAAAGGATGGAGTGATCACTCGCATCCTGAGCTCCCCTAATCTGTATTTCAACAATCAGCTCCTCCCTACTAGTCAAGACCAAGTCAAGAATGTTTCCCCCCCTTGCCGTCTCTCGGACCCTCTGTGTGAAAAACGCTCCCTCAATAGCTTCTAGGAAGCGACGTGACCTGGCTGTCACCGCCAAGTGAGTCTCCCAAGTAATATCCGGGAGACTGAAATCTATCTCACTGCATCCTATCCCTTCCCTGATGTATAAAGCCACGCCCCCACCTCTCTTTCCCTTCCTGTCCTTTCTAAAAGGGTGATACCCTTCTGTGTTCACATTCCAGACTTGCCTTTCATCCCACCAAGTTTCTGTGATTCCCACCAGATCATACCCTCCTATTCCCAGGAGAGCTTCAAGCTCTTCCTGCTTATTACCCATGCTAGTATTGGTGTACGTGCACCTCAACTCCTTCCCACCGCTTCCTTTCCTTGGAGTTCCCAGCCTCCTCCTTCCTCCCATCCTCCCTGATACCTGGCCCCTCTCTGTAGGAGTCCTGTCAGTCCCTGCAGTATCTCTAAAACTCTGCTCCCAGAGCCCTGATCCTCCCCCCACACTTGTCCAGTGCAGACATGTTTCTGGGGGGCCTGAACCCCCCCCCCCCGGCTCAGTTTAAAGTCTTCTGGACAAAGCTCGCTAGAGCATCTCGAAAGCACCTTTTCCCCATCCTCGTGGGGTGTAACCCATTCCTTGCCAGAAGTCCATTGGCAAGAAAACAAGTGCCATGGTCGAGGAACCCGAAGTGTTCCTTCTGGCACCACACCCTAAGCCAGTCATTCACTTTGGAGGCCCTCCTGTCCCTTCCTGGCCCAAATCCCCGGACAGGTAAGATTGACGAGAAGGCCACTTTTGCCTTCAGTTCCCTGAGTTTCTTCCCCAAAGCCTCAAAGTCCCTGGTGGTCCCAACCACACCCTGCCTGGCCACATCGTTTGCCCACATGGATCACCAGGAGTGGCTCCCCCGGAGCGAACAAGATGCTCCACTCTGTCCTTCACATGCCGGATGCGTGCATCCGGCAAGCAGCAAACCTCCCTTGTCTTCAGGTTGGGGCGGCATACCACTGCCTCAGTGCCCCTCAGCAGGGAGTCCCCAACAACAATCACCCACCGCCGTACCTTCCCGGTGCTGGTGGGCGGCCGTGCCCTGGCCCTTGCCTCTCCTGCAGTGGCCCCCTTGCCGCCTGACATCCCAGGCTGGGGGTCCTGCTGGTCCCCTGAGGCCTCATTGCCCCAGCCTCCCCAAGTGGAGAGAACCTGTTTCCCAGCTCCAGATTGGTGCCAGGAGAAGGAGGAGGCCGTGCTGGCCTCCTCCTCCTGTGGATGACATACCTCCATGTTTCCGCAGCTGCTCCTCCCGTGGCCTCTCCCTCAACCCTCTGTCCAGAGGGGGGCTGCTCTGGGGGGGCCTGGAGAGCTCTCTCGGCCCTCAGGCACCTCACCTCCTCTTCTAGCAGGGTCACCAACTTGTATCGAGGGCAAGTGTATCCCTGCCTCTCCTGGGGGAGAAGGGCGAACATGTCGCAGCTCTCGCAGCGGACAGCAACACCTGTGACTCCTGCCAAGGCCATCTCCTGGTCTGCCATCAGTATCCCTTCCGAGACCTTACCTGGGACCTGCCTTGTCTGTCCTGCAGTTCCTCTCACTCGCCCAGTTCTCCCAGACAAAAACCCACTCGCACACACACACAAGGCTAAAATAAACTTAAATTTAAATTAGAAGAAAAACAAAGCAAAGCACAGCACAGCACAAACAAAACAAACAAATAAACAAACAAACCTCTGTGTCTCAGGGAAGGGAGTCTCCGGACAGCCCGGGCTGCAGCTAAGGGACGCAGACAAGGGACGAGGCCTTATCAGTCCCTCAGGCCGGTGGCCCCACCTCCTGCTCCTTCCTGGCCCCTCTAGCCTCTCTGGCCCCGCCCCCTTCCTCTCCGCTGCTCCTGGCCCTCTGCTCCCCTGCCCAGCTCCTACCTTGCCTTCGCCAGTCCCCTGGCCACTCAGCACTCTCTTCCAGTCTGTGCCTCTGCTGCTCTGCTGCTCTGCCAAGAGGCCAGAGCCAAAAGGGCTTGCAGTGGCTGAGCGCGGCCTTATCAGTCCCTCAGGCCGGTGGCCACGCCTGTCCGCTTCCTCCTGGCTGCTCTTGCCTCTCTGGCCCTGCCCCCTTCCTCTCTGCTGCTCCTGGCCCTCTGCTCCCCTGCCCAGCTCCTACCTTGCCTTTGCCAGTCCCCTGGCCACTCAGCACTCGCTCCCAGCCTGTGCTTCTGCTGCCCTGCCAAGAGGCCAGAGCCAAAAATTCCCTTGTTCTCCTGAACTAAAACATGCCTTTAATCGTATGCCTCGGAAATATATCTTGAAATAGACTGTTGGAGACTTGTCAAGTCTCTATTTCTGGCTCCTTTTTCCTTTATCTCTGTTTATTTGGGCACACTAAAAACTGTGATATGGATTCTTGTGGGGTGTCTTTGTGCCCCACTGTAATAAAGGAATGTACTGTTTCTTTAACACATGTTTGGGTGTTGGTGTCTTAGGGAACCAGGCCTGACAAGTTATTTCTAATAAAAAAGAGCACTTTACAAAGATGGTTGTCTCAGTGGTGAACATTGAAAAAACCCTTTCATGACATATTGCAAGTTGTTTGCAGTATTCAATAGACAAATAACTCTACGTAGGGATTCATTTGTTGCTACGTAATTCTCTCTCTCATTTCTTGCACATATACACCCCATCCTGCTTTTGTGCATATGCACAATTGCAGGTTTAATTAGAATCTGATGATGCCTTAGTCTTGCATATATAACATAATAGCTTAGCTTGTTCATTTGATTGTGTTTTCCTGCTTCAGCCAAGGTCAGTGCTAAAAACACCAAGCTCACAGCTCTCTTACCTAAATTGGATCTGTTTGGTCTGCTCTGAAGCCGGGTGGCTCGCTAGTAGTACAGTGACTCGCAGTCCAGCACTGTTTCAATTAAGTTTCACTTGGCTGTCTTAGTAACAAGCTAGTCAGTAACGTTTTTCTTGACCAACTATTAGTTATTGATGCTCAAAGAATCTAATAATGATGCTTGGCATTCATTTTTTATTTGTCATATTTCTGTAGAAACCTATTTAATTCTTAATGTGACATCTCTTAATATATTTTTAGAAATGCATTTCCATTACTGTAGTTTTGGTATGAAAACTCCAGAGGTCAACTGACTGAAAACTTTAATTAGTTATATGCTTTCTAGGTGAATGAGGAGGCCAAATTTCATACAGATTTATGTAATACTCTCCATTCTGAAATAGCATTTCATTTGATTGGTATCTTGTCCTGAATTTTTCCATTGTGATTTTCTACTGAGTAAAGCATAGTAGCCTTTCCTTTTGAAATCTGTTGATAAGACACATAGAGAATTGTCTACTTCACACTGTACTTTTCTCCTATGGAATCTCCCCCTTTCCTTTGTAGTAAAGGTTTATTTATGGTGCACATGTGGTGCTACAGGTACACTAATTGGAGAGTAGATATGAGCAGCAGCTGCTTCAACAAAAATAATCCCACTTCAGATAATATGATCCATACTCTTTTTCTGTATGGAGATTACCACTGTATACAAAAAACACACTATGTACACTAGTTCTAAGAAATAAATAGTCTAATTTAACACATTGCTGTATGACTGATTGCTTAGTAACCTTGATTTCCCATTTGGCTTTTTTTCTTCTAGCACAAATGCCATCAGCCGTTTCCACACTCCTTTTATTGTAGAAAATTACAGACATCTGAATCAGCTACGTGAGCAACTAGTCCTTGACTGCAGTGCTGAATGGCTACACTTTTTGGAGTGAGTTCACAAATTCAGTTTTTGCTGTTGAAATAAGACTATAATGCAGCTTTCAAAATATAAGTTTCAAGCTGATTATTGTTGTAGCAAATGTTATTTTGTACATAGTTTTGCTTGCTTACAGAGTTGGCTGCATTTCAAAAGCTGGCAAATTTAAAATACATAAAGCCAGTATTTTAGAAGTCATGACCTTTATTGCATGGTTTTATCACTGTTTGCAATTCTTATAAGCTAACCTAAACCGTTATCCACTTCAGGGGCAGTTCATTTCTGTACCCTAGTTAGTACTTTAAGCTAATCAATAGTACTAACACAGTAACAACATTAAAAGAGCATTTAATTTAAGAACTATGACAGTTCTATAGTGACTGACTTAATTATTTTCAAAATAATACTCTGTAGTGACAAACTACCTGTCCCTTCCCACCAATCACAGTACTGTACCCATACAAGATCCATAACTATGGAACAAAAAGAAAAGTAACAATTAGCATACCTCATGTCTTTTCTGGAACTAGAGCTGAGATGAGCAGGCATTCTCTCTAGAACAGGGGTACAGCCTTTTGGGTCCATTAGCACATTTGGCAGTTTGATAAACTGTCCTGTACATTACCACAAAATGACTTTCACTAGGTATAAGGCCTAGTCATAAATGATCAGTCATCTGCCCCAAAAGGAGCTTGAATGCAAAGCAGAAGTGAATCTGAGCTCCAATACTCTAAACAACTCCATTGGACTCAGTGCCAAGAAAAATCTCTTTCAAAGAAGGCAAGCACACAGCATACACCCTTAGCCATTCATCCTCCATTTATCCAAAAACCACGCGCCACACACATGCATGCACACACACTTCTGAGGCCTTCAGTGGATGAACTGCCTCTCCTGTAACAACTGCCTTGTTCAAAGTCAGATCTGTTTCCAGCTTCACTAATTATCCCAACTCCTGGCATGGGCAGTGCAGTTCTTCCAACTTCAGGCCACTCCTTCATGGTAAGAAACTATTGGAAAAGGCAAGAACACGAAACTCATTGGTTCTGTAGAAAAATAAAAGAAAGAAGGATCCAAAGAATGCACATGAACATGCTTCAGAACTGCTCCCATGGTTTCTCCCACACTCACCTCTACCACCACCCCCTACCAACACTTGTGGCCGCATTGCCACTAGAATCTGCTTTGGTCACATTAACATTAACAGCAGAAGAATACAGAACTATATCAGCTAAGGCTAATCTACCAGCTACAACTCTCTCTGGACAGGCAGAACCTGGCAATGGTTATTCACATACTCATAAGCTCTCATCTGTGTTTTCCACATGGGGCTTCCCTGGAAAATAGTCAGGAAACATCAGTTGATACAGAATAGGGCAGTGAGGCTACTGATGAGGACTGGCAGATACAAACATATAATGCCAGTCCTCTACCATCTCCGCTAGTTATCAACTGGAATCTGGGTCCAATTCAAAGTGTTAACACTTTTGTTTAAAGCTCTAAACAGCTTGGAGCCAGGTTATCTAAAGGAGTGCCTCTTCCTATATGTGTCTGCCTGGTCCCTTAGATCATCATTGGGAGTCCTTCTCAAGGAGCTCCTTTTCAGGAAATATTGAGGGTGGCAACAAGGAAAAAGGCCTTCTCAGTAGTGGCACCCCAACTTTGGAACCAGCTCCGCAGAGAGGTTTGCTTGATGCTCTGTTTGTACTCTTTTCGGTGCCAGGCAAAGACCTTATATTCTCTCGATATTTTAATTGTTAAGCTATTTTAATATATCTGGTTTATAATCTGCTGTTGTGCCTTTTATTTTGTCTATGGCTGGATAAACATAGGAACATAGAAACAAAGCAAGTCAGAAGGGTCTCCCGGGCCATCTAGTCTGACCCCTGGCTCCGCTCACGACATGCCCACCATGTGCATGTCCAGCCTATGTTTGAACACCCTCACCAATGGGGCCTCAACCACCTCCTGTGGAAGGCCATTCCATACCCTTGGGATCCTGACTGTCAGGAAGTGCTTCCTGGCATCTAAATGGAACCTTGATTCCCTGAGCATTGCTCCACTGGAGCACGTCCTGCCTTCCTCTGCAGGGGAGAACAGGTCTCTACCCATCTCCATGTGACATCCCCTCACATACCAGTATGTCGCCAACAGATGCCCTCTGAGTCTCCTCCAGGCTGAAGAGACCCAGTTCCCTCAGTCTCGCCTCATGAGGCATCCCCTGCAAACTGCCCTATGCTGCACTGACTCCAACCTGGCTATATCCTTTCTGTAATGAGGGGCCCAAAACTGAGCACAATACTCCAGTTGCGTGTGCACCAGAGTTGTATAGAGTGGCAGTAATACCTCTCTTGATCTAGAAGCCACACTTCTGGCTATGCAACCAAGAGTGGCATTTGCCCTCTTGTCCACCGCATCACCTTGCTGACTCATGTTTAGCCTGCAGTCAATCAGCACCCCAAGGTCCCTTTCACAAGTGCTGCTCTCCAGCCACTTGTCTCCTAACCTGTACTTACGACACCTATTCCTATGCCCCAAGTGCAAGACCTTGCACTTATCCACATTGAACGCCATCCTGTTGTCTCCTGCCCACTTCCATAGTCTGTCCAGATCCTTTTGGATCTGGAGTACCTGCTCCTCAGTTGTGGCCACTGCCCCAGTTTTAGTATCCTCTGCAAATTTGATCAGCAGACTGTTCACCCCTTCTTCCATGTCATTGATGAAAAGATTAAACACGTTCGGCCCCAGGACAGAGCCCTGGGGGACCCCGCTTGTCACTTGGTGCAATCCCAATGATTCCCTACTAATGGTTACCCTCTGCTTTCGATCAGTCAGCCATGCCCTAATACATCGGACAGTGCTTTGGTGTATCCCAAAACTCCTCAGTTTCTCAAGCAGGATATCATGGGACACTTTGTCAAAGGCCTTGCTGAAATCCAGGTAAACCACATCCACTGCATCCCCTCCATGTAGCCATCTTGAAACCTTGTCATAGAATTCCACAAGGTTTGTCTGGCAGGACCTGTTTTTGTGGAAGCCATGTGGTGTGGCTGCCAGTCTCCCTTCCCCATCTAGCATCACTAGATCTCTCACTATTATGAGCCTTTCCATTGTTTTCCTACAATGGACATAAGGCTAACTGGTCTCTAATTCCCCATGTCCTTTCTACTACCCTTTTGGAAAATTGAGACCACTGACGCCACCCTCCAGTCCTCTGGAGCTTCATCCTTTCTCCACGAGGCCTCAAAAATGGAGGCCAGTGGGCGTGAGAGAACCCCTGCCAACTAAGTACTCTCGGATGTAACCCGTCAGGGTCTGGCACCTTTGTAATGTCCAATGCCCTGAGGAGCCCCTTGACTTCTAGGAAGGTGACTCTAATCTGTGCCCCTAAGTCCCCAGCCTCATCTAATCTCCTAAATTGAGGTTCCATGAAGTATAATGGCGTTGGTTTTGGATTGTTGGATTTTATTGTTATATTAACTTTCATTTTAAATATTATTTTATTGTATACTTTTAACCTGTAATCTGCTTAGGGAGCCTTATTCGCTGATGTGACGGGATAAAAATCCAATAAATAAATAAACGATACCCTTCCTTGAAACTGTAAGGAGCAGTCACGCAATACCAAGCACCCTGTACAACTTCAGAATACTGGAAATTGGTTTCCTAGGCTGACCTAGTTCCATCAGCGAAGTTGAGATCAGTATCAATAGCAAAAGCAGGCATGGCCCCCTCTCTCACATTGGAACCAGCAGTCAGAGAGGTCATTACTTTTCTATAAATTGTATTCTTGGGATATGAGAGGAGCCCAGGAGCTTCAACATAAGCATAACAGATATTCTTCATCGTGGCCTCTGTGCATCACATATATGGGTGCTGCGCCTGTGCAGTGCCTTTGGCTGGAAGATTGAAAGCTAACGGTTTTTGGCGGGAAAGCTCTGCTCCCTCTCCCCCTATAGTCTACAGAGAGCGGAGCATCCGCCATTTTGTTCAGTCTTTGCGACCTCCGTTCACTGTGCCTCGGGCCGCTTTTGCTCTCGCTCTGACCGTTGCTCATGCTGTTTTCAATCGTTCTTCTCTCTAAGTTTAATAGCCCTGTTCAGTAATTTAGTAGTTCTTGTTCCTTCCTCGTTATTATCACCTCCTAGTAGTTCTCCGTTTTCTGTCGTTCTCACTCTCTTTCTATCTTCTTAAAAAAAAAAACAAAAAACAAAACAGAAATGTATTTTACCCTCTGCACTATCTTCTCTTTTTCCTCTTCTCACGATGGCGCAGCTAGCGGCTTTCCACAGGTGCACGGAATGCGGGTCTAAGATGTCTCCTGCAGACCCGCATGACCTATGCCTCCTCTGCTTGGGAGAAGGGCATAGGACTGACAAATGTTCTCACTGCCTGGCCTTCTCTAAGCAGGCCAGGAAAAATCGTGAGAACCACCTACGGAGGCTCTTGTGGGATCGGGCTCTCCTTCAGTCTGACCCACTAGTGACTGCTCCGAAGCCTGGCTCTTCCACTGGTTCCGCCCTCATGCCCTTCCGATGAAGGCGCATCTACCATGGGCACTTGGCCTGTTTCTCCTAAGAAGAAACATGAGAAGCGTAAGCACGCCGGTACTGACAAACTGGCCGACCACAAGAAAGCCAGGAAGGATAAGGCTCTGAAGCCGCCTAAGAAATCCAAGGATCCGGAGCGTTCTAGGCACTGAGATTCGGGCTCGATGGCCCCTTCGGTACCGACAGCAGTCACCGTACCAACTCCACCTGACCCAGTGCTTCAGGCGGCTATGAGGATTACCCCCCAAGGGTCCCCTCGCCACGTGGCTGAGCTTCCCACAGAGCCTCTCCCTACTCTGCCGAGGGAGTCAATCTCTGATGGGGAAATCCGGGATTCTCCCCCTAGGGCTAGGTCCCCCACACCTATGCCCACAGCCACATTGGAGGCAGATGTGGAAATGTCCCCGCCTAGGAGCTGCAGGAATCACTCCTTGAAACGCCGATCGGAGGGATGGTACTGCC